TGACATTTTTGTTTAATTGTCTATTTATTATTTAATCTCGATTTTTAAATTATTAGATTTTTTATTATAGTAAGCCTTTAATTATAAATCAGTCATACTTTCTGAGAAAGCTGTTGAATTTCTAGATAAAGGCAAAATAATTAAATTTTTTAATGCTCAGTTATGAAATGAGCCTTGCGAGAAGGTGAAATGAAACAGAAAAACAAAGAAAATGAAGCTCATACGAAAGAATGTGAGGAAAAAAAAGAGAGCGTGTGAACTTCATCAACAATGAAAACGGGTGAAGATCGAGTGGAGTTATTTGCTCCTAAGTTGTGAGGTATGTGGGTTAAAAAACTCCAAGTTGATGACCCGAACAACTTGTCTAATATCAATAAGGTCAAAAAAGTGAAATCGAACAACATTTACATATCTATAACTTTTTATTTTCAAGAAAAAGAACCATTCAAACTACATACAATCATATAGACCATATACCTAATAAACCAATCAAGGTCTTTATTGCACGTACATTCCGTAAATTCGAGTGAGAATTGATATATTTACAAATTACGACACATTACCTATGAACTGTGACCAAAATATAGCCATTTCCACTTCAGTGATACCCAAGAGGGGCTGCTGATTCTCTCAGTTCCTTTCCTTGAAAATGGATGTCCTGCCCACAAAAAGAACCAAAGTTACTCAATTGAATGAACCATACAGAAAAGAAGCAAAGTTACTCACAGAAGCGAAATGGTTGACGTCGCGGTGGTGCCCCTCATCGGCCCGAATCACCGTGATGACATCCTTCAGCCTTGCATCCTTAGGCAACCGCCAGTAGTCGATGGCGATGGCAGGAGCGGGCACGTTCTCGATCTTCCCCTCGTTGATATCCTTCAAGTACTCAGTGTAAGAATGGATGGCTTCCTCCTCCAAATACCCAACAATTCTATGAGCCAATTTGGGGGACGTCAAGTAGAGCACAAAGAACGCATTGAAAAACACTCCCTGCACTGTGATCACAAGCAGCCGCTCATACCACTTGGGCTGCACAAGCTCAATCATCGTCATTAGATGCATCCTTTCATTCTCTGCTTCTTCAAGCAAGGCCTTGATCCACCCCCCACTGTGCTGAAACTTCCTGAGAGATTTCAAGTGCAGCAGCATCCCGGCGACCATCCCCGGGACGGCTGCCACCGTCTCGAGCATCACTGCTCGACAACCGTAGCGCCTCTGCACAACATAGAAGATCATGTGAATTCAAGGGGCCAGGATGAATGAAGAACAAACATATTAGATAACCCACTTGGAAGAACAGATCTGTTGGGATACGAAGAAGCTTCACAACACGATAAGCAAATTTATCAAGAAAACATTTCGGCTCATGGTGCTTTCCAAGATCTATGGACAAATTCGCACTGTAAGTATCCCACGGCTGCGTTCATAGCAACAGTTTCAGAAACTTCATAAAGAATCCAATCAAGATACCCGAGAAAATGACACAAAATTTAAGCCAAAAGGCGAGCAGACATTTTATCAAACAGTTGGCGGGCAAGAATACACCTACCAAGAAGAACGAATTCATACCATAAAACAATTCCATGGCCATTCAGATCCATCTTCCCTGGTAATCCTCGGCCTGTAAATCCCCCAATAGCTAGAAACCAGAGCATTCTCCTTCTCCTTCTCCTTCTCCTTCTCCTTCTCCTTTTCCTTTTCCTTCTCTTTCCCCTGATTCTCAACGTTCTTCATCCCCTGTTCTTCCGCCACCGCCATCGACGAGCTCATCATCCTCCGCCAGTGAAACCCCTCATTCGCCACCGATTGATACCTCGTTCCCGGAGACGCCATCGCCGTCAAAGTAACCCTCAGACTACCACCGCCGCCGCCGCCGCCGCCAAGACCGGCAACCGAACCAAATCTCCGGCTATTATTAGTCAGACCTCTCACAAAACTCCACATCACAATCCGATTCATCGCTATTGAACAACGAATGGACCAAAATCCTTCCCCTTAATTCTCCGATTGGCCATGGACTCATGACCAGTCCGTTATAAGTAATGGTCTTAGAGGAACCAACCAACAGCAGCTATAATCCCGTGCTTCGCGGTTCCAATGCGACGATTGATTATATTCGACCCAAATAATCTTCGACGCTTCCTGTAAGCCGTCGAGATTTCGAGGAAGTCCAAGAACCAGAGGATTATAACAAGAGCCACCCAATTGAATTTTGTTTAATTTTAATAATAATCTCTGGATTGGCGGCTGTTTAGAGGAATAATTGGGTCTTTTATGAGTCAAATGTGTTTCTTCACTTTCAGTCAACGGTCAGCCGCCATATTATGTCGTTGACCGTTGTATCTTTTTTTATTATTTTACTATTTAGGAAAATCAAAATTTTACCCTTAAATATAGATGTAAAAATTTGTTTAACCCTAATAATTATTGAATACAACAGTGAAATATATTTATATTATTTTTTATTGGGTGACATTTTATTGTTTAGGTCAACCGACCAAAAAAAACCTAGACTTAAATTTAAAAAAAATAATAATATTTAACTTTATAATTTAATATTTTAATTTTATGAAAATTTTGGTACTAAAGTAGCGTGGATAAATATAATTTTTTGAAAATTGAAAAAGACAACCCAACTTGCATAAAGTTTAGTTGGGTTCAATGATCAACTCTATTCGAGTTGTTGGGTCATCATCCTTAACCAGTACAAAAATTTTAAATTGATTTAAAAAAATTATAAAATACCTCTTATGCACCATAAAATTTAAATTTTATTAAATTCGACATTGAATTCGATTAGTGTTGAAATTTAGACATAATATTCAATTTATGCAAATTCACATATTAATTTTAAAAAAAACATGTAGATATTTATCTAAATTTCAAATATAATTTAATGAAATTAAAATTTATTATTCATAGTGTTTGTGGGACCCATCGAGATATACAACTGGAGATTCGGGTCGGGCGGAATCATTTCATTTCGGGCAGTTTGGGATCTGTCGTGAATTATTTGTCTCTTTTGACCGGTCTTTGTCAAAAGACTATTTTGCCCCTGTAATTATTACTCAATTCTTTCCATTCCCATAATTTAAAATAGAAAAATTGTCGAGAAAACTATTTAAAAATAATAATAAATAATTAAAAATAAATAAACGCTTTTACCTAATTTATCGATTATTAAATTTGTCTATTTCAGATTTAATATTATACTTAAAAAATATGTAATTTAAGATTACCCTTGGCGTTCTAGATGATAGACACGTGTAAGACAGCTGGTTGGCAACCTGAAACTGGCGAATCTCTGGACCAAAACGAATTCAAATTGAATTCTTTCTTTTCCTTTTTAATAGAAAAAATACAAATTAACCTAAAAAATAGGTAAGAATATGGCTTTTTTTCTTTTTTTATATATTTTAAATAATAATAATAAATAAAGTAATGACCTTTAAAATAACAATAATTTTTATGGGCCTTTGCAAACGAGCCCATCCACAATATATGGGCTGGGCCTCTAGAACAAGTAATATTAAATATTAAAAACAAAACTAGAATTTACTTGAGTTGATATTTGTGGGATTAAATACGATTTTATTTAATTAATAATATGATATATGTTTTATAATATAAATTTTAATAAATCTTGAGACTTTAAAACTGAAATTAATTTAAATTATAATTAAATTCCAACTTTTTTTTTAATTACAAAAATGAAAAAAATGATGTCAATTTTATTAATGGAAATATCTGGGTAGTTGTCAAATTATTTAATGTCTTTTCAATTGATGACGAAATCTTATTTGAATTTTCTTTGCTTCTAATTAGTTTGGTTTAAAAATTAAATCATATTAAATATTTATAACAATACTTGTAACTAATATCATTATTATACCATTAATACTCGACTACATTTTAAAATCATAAATAGATCAATTTAAATTAAATTGAGTTCAAATAAATTTTTAAATATAAATTACATATTTTTATTTAATTTCATAAGTATTTCTTTTTTAATATCTATTTTCCAAAAACACTTAAAATAATTTTAATTATTTAAAAATAGTTTGTAAATAAAAAACTCCCTCCCAACCCAACTCAAACTCAAGAAATAATTATTTAAAAAGAGTTATTTAGATTTAAAATTTTAAAAATATTTAAATTTGATAACTCAATTCACACCCCATAAAAATAAATAGAAAGTTTATAAAAAATTAAAAATATTTGTAAATTAATAAAATAAAATAAAAATAAAAAAGTAAATTTCTCATTGACTAGAAAAGAAATTAAATTTTGATGAAAAAAAAAATCGAACAAATTGACTTTCACAAAGTTGTGGCTCCCACCCCCATCAGAATGCACGTGAGAACCCAAACAAATTTTCTTCTATGTGAAATTCCAATTTTACCCTAATTTGACTTTTCACTATAACTTCGAAGTAACTATTGGACCCTATTATATCTAATAGTTAATAGAATATTAAACGGTAAGTAAGAACCATAATTTGAAACTATTCTCTCTCGGCTCATCTAGTTCCTTTTATTATTTGATATAAGACTCGTCTCTTTTGTATTATAGAGTGGTGGCTAGTACATAGTTACCCGATACTTATTCTTTAGATATTGTAATTGTTTATTCTCCAAGAAATAAAGTTTAGGAACGATAAGCGCGACATTGCTCCATTAGATTTTCGCTCAAGTATGAGTTGAAACTATTGTTGGTTTGCTTATAAATTTTTAAGATTGCTTTGAAATAACACACAAAAGGAAGAAAAAGAAAGGGGGAATCATCCCTTGAGAAGTTATTTACTAAGCAACGAACTGTAATAAACAAAAAGGAAAACAATGATGAAGGTGAAGGAAAAGATAGAAAAGTAAAGCAGAATGAGGGCACAGTGTCAGTAAACAATTAACAATTGGGTGGAAAAAAGAAGGGAAAAAAAGATGGGAGGAGCACTAAAAATCAAAGTCAATAAGGGAAAGCTCTGCCCCCTCTTGGTAATACTCTCCATTTCCTCTACCTTATTGCGATTTATTTCTTTTCCCACCGCGTGGACTTACCCCAACAGAACTAGAACGGTTTCATAAAACTTCATCGATTCCTTCTTCAATCCATACTTATTTTTGGTCTTTTTCTTCGCAATACACTGATTGTATCTGAGACGTCTCTTTCCAGGACGAATTAATCAATAATTCGGGCTCTGGGGTTGTTCTATTTTCTAGTTTACTTCCAATTTTCGACGACTTGTTCATCGGTAAGGCGAATTCCGGGCTACCCTTTTGGTGTTCTATGTTTGTTCTTGTGATTCCCTGGTTTTTTTGGTGTTTATGGGATGATTTTGATCGTGGGTCTTTAGCGTTTTGTTGATCGGAACTGTTTTTTTGGATTTGCAGTTTGTGGGATTCTGTGATTCTTCCCTCTTCTTGTGGGGTTTCCTTAGAAATTTAGGTGGATGATTGTTGAAAGGGGAAAGAAGGTGAAGTGGGAAGAATAAATTGTATGGATAACTTATGCTGCTTCAATTCTGTGTATTCTCAGGTAGTAATATCTTTACCTTTGTCTGGTTTTATGTTAAATTCATAGTAATATGTGTTGATTTCTGTAGAACTCTGTGAGATGGTTGTTTCTGAGTTTATGATCGGTTCTGTGTTCTATCTTTGAGCACAAGACTATCAAGTTGAGGTCTAAAATGGACTTATTCTGGGTTAATTATTTACAGATATGTTGTTAACTTTGTAGATAGCTCCTCCTATTTAGGTTTGTTTGAACATGGAAACTGAGTTTTTGGTTTTGGATTATGAACTGGTTCAGGTTTTGATTTTATGCATCATGGTAAACGAACTCCTCTTTGTTCCTTGAAGTTTAAAGTTGGTGTTACTTGATGCCTGTTTGTTCTGTTGAGGTTTTGCAATTTGATGAGTAGACTGGAAAGGGTCCGAAACTTTCTCCATTCCTAGTTTCTCGTTGTTCGTATATACCTCAATGAGGATATATACAGTTTGAAAGTTACGGTGTGAGATCCCACATCGATTGGAGAGAGGAACGAGTACCAGCGAGGGTGTTGGGTCTCGAAGGGGGTGAATTGTGAGATTCCATATCGATTGGAGAGAGGAACGAGTGTCAGCGAGAATCCTAGACCCCGAAGGGGGGTAAGGGGGATTGTGGGATCCCACATCGGTTAGAGATGGGAACGAAACATTCTTTATAAGGGTGTGAAAACCTTTCCCTAGCAGACGTTTTTTATAAAAACCTTGAAGGGAAGCCCGAAAGAGAAAGTCCAAAGCGGACAATATTTGTTAGCGGTGGGCTTTGGGTTTTACAAATGGTATTAGAGCTAGTCACTGGACAGTGCGAGACATTGATCGGAGTAGGGCTACACCCTCTCCATAGTAGATGCGTTTTAAAAACCTTGAGGGGAAGCCCGAAAGGGAAAGCTCAAAGAGGACAATCTTTACTAGCGGTGGGTTTGACCTGTTGCACAATGTCTCTGAAATTTTCTTTATGAGGAAGAAAACCCGAAGATCTTATGTTGCTTTTGATGGGGAGTTTTCACTAGCATCTTGATATTTCGATCATGCACGTTTACTTAAAACATTCAATTCCTTGTTTCATTTTGATATTACTATTTATGAGCATGAAAGATTTATATGGAATTGGGATTCCTCCCCTTTGCGTTTAGTTTGTAGGAGGACGTTCGTCATGTAGCTCCGGAAAGGGCCGGGGCAATCAATGCCCTGCGAAATATGGTTTTAGTTTGGTAAAAGGCAAGGCAAATCATCCCATGGAAGATTATCATGTTGCTAAATTTATCACAGTGCATGGCCAGGAGCTTGGCCTCTTTGCTATATATGATGGGCACCTAGGAGATAGCGTACCAGCCTATCTACAGAAGCATCTATTTCCCAATATTCTCAAGGATGTAAGCTCGTCACTACTCTCGGTTATCATTATTGGGAAAGCTCGTTTGGGAATAACAATGTGTTAATCGTCACGAATGCTAATTAGAAAGATATTTACTGACATCTCGACACAAACTCTTGTGATTTCTTCAGGAGGAATTCTGGTCAAATCCGCGTAGCTCTATCTTTAAGGCGTATGAGACGACAGACCAAGCAATACTCTCACACAGTCCTGACTTGGGAAGAGGTGGATCCACTGCTGTCACTGCAATTTTAATAAACGGTCAAAAATTATGGGTGGCTAATGTCGGAGATTCACGAGCAGTCCTTTCAAAAAGAGGGCAGGAAGTACAAATGTCTGTCGATCACGAACCGAACGCTGAGCGTGGAAGTATCGAGGACAGAGGTGGCTTTGTCTCTAACATGCCAGGTCTGGTAATGCATTGATGTATTCTCATGAATGCCAGTGTTTATCACTTATCAGATGGTGAAAACATTACTGTTTTGGGTTGGAATTTAAAATTCTGCTACTTGTTAAAGATAGGATCTAGAAAACTATGAATCAGTGAAGACAAGTCCTCTGTTTTCTTGATCTCTTTCTTTTAACATGGTTCCAAGAATAATGCAAAGTGAAGTCCGAAACGGTTGGAGGGGGGAACAAAACATTCTTTATAAGGGTGTGGAAACCTCTCCTTAATAGACACGTTTAATAAACCTTGAGGGGAAGCCCGAAACGAAAAGCTCAAAGAGGACAATATCTGCTAGCGGTGGGCTTAGGCTGTTACAAACGGTATTAGAGCCATACACTAAGCAGTGTGCTAGCGAGGACGTTGGGCCCCTAAGGGGGGTGGATTGTAAGATTCCACATCGGTTGGAGAGTGAAACAAAACATTCCTTATAAGGGTGTGGAAACCTCTCCCTTGTAGACGCGTTTTAAAACCTTGAGGGGAAAGCCCAAAAAGGACAATATTTGCTAGTGGTGAGGTTGAGTTAGTTACCAATGGTATTAGAGCCAGACACTGGACGATGTGTCAGTGAGGACGCTGACCTCCAAAGAGGGTAGATTGTGAGATCTCATTGGTCAGAGAGGGGAACAAAGCATTTCTTATAAAGGTGTGAAAACCTCTCCCTAATAGACGTATTTTAAAACCTTGAGGGGAAGCCCGAAAGGAAAAGCCCAAAGAAGACAATATCTGCTAACGGTGGCCTGCATCATACATACATGAAGGGAAGGGTAGGTGTCACATCTACTCTCTACATCTTTTGAGTCTCAAGGGAGAACAGTGATTGATGTTATGTAGTCTAAGCTTGCTATTTTAGTCATCTAACTTACCAATATTTTGATTCTTTTTATTACTTGTCATACTAGGAGATGTTGCTAGAGTGAACGGGCAACTTGCAGTTTCTCGAGCGTTTGGCGACAAAAACCTCAAAACACACTTGCGATCTGATCCCGACATAAAGAACGCCGATATCAACTCTGACACCGAGCTTCTAATCTTAGCAAGCGATGGTCTATGGAAGGTGATTATGATTGTTTCCCATCAACTACAACAAATATCCATCTTGAATCTCTAGTTTCTTCTCAAATGTTTATTCGAAATTCAGGTCATGTCGAATCAAGAAGCCGTGGACATAGCGAGAAGAACCAAAGATCCCCAGAGGGCAGCAAAGCAACTAGCAGCAGAAGCACTGAAACGGGAAAGCAAAGACGACATCTCGATCATCGTCGTTCGTTTCAAAGGGTAAAACTCGTGTCGAGCTAAAGTTTATTATCATTACTTGTGTGTTGGGGGTGTTCTATAATCCATGGCATTCAACTCTACAATCTTTAAGCCATCCACAGTAAAGAAAAACCTGCATAAATTTCAATATCTCCTTATTCTCCCCCTCAACAAGGAAAAAAAGAATGCATCTCTGTTGTATAATATGATGTTCTTGCTCTGAATTGGGGATAGTTTGGTCTTTTCACATGATTTCTTTTTGATGATCTGTAGATCCATGTATACCTTCTTCATTTTTCTGTAACTTTTTGTGAACTTATGAAACAGTTTGGAACTCTAGGCTTGGCCTTTGGGTCTCCATGGAACACCTGCTTGACATGTATGCAACTATTGTAATAGATTGATAAGCTTTTTGGTTGACATATCCCAATTCTCAAGTCCTGTTTAAAGGGCAATATCGGTATTGTAAGGTAGCGGAAAGAATCTACCTTTTCAGCCTAATAATATCGCCTATCCCATTAGGTGGTAGTTGTCATCGTCGTTTCATGAGAATAGTCGATGGGTGCCAAGCTGACTTGGACACACTATTTAGTCGTCTTTATGATTTGTTAAAGACCAGAAAATGTGTGAGATCCCACGTGGGTTAGTGAGGGAAATAAACCATTTTTTATAAGGGTATGAAAATCTCTCCCAAAAAGCTGAGACACTCAGGAGGTTGTTGTTGTCATCTTCGTTTCATGAGAATAGTCAATTTGTGTCCAAGCTGATCGGCTTTACGACTTAAAAAGACTCGATAATTTTGAGCCACTCAGTAAAAAAAAAATATATATATATATATATTTTTTGAACCAAATTAATTTTTATTATAAATGTGATTAAAGTTATTATTTAAATGGATATAATTATTGGTTTATAATTTGTTTAAAAAGAAATGGTTAAATAAGAAAATAGAAAAAAACGCCAAAAGGGTAAAAACAGTAGCGAATCTCGTTGCGATACCGTCTTCTCTCCTTTTTCGTTTCGTTTAAAAATAGAGCAACTGCGTCCCATCCGTTCGCCGGAAAATCATTCAGAGACGACCGCCATGGGTATAGCCGAAGCTTCACCGATAACTATGGCTCCGCTTCTTCTACGGAACTTGCTCACCTCTCTCTTTGGCTTCGCCGACAAATTCCTTATCAGTTTATCGAAGAAACACAAACTCCTCGAGGTTATCCACTGCCTGTCAGTCTCCTTCTTCCTCTTTTTCCTCCGTTGGCTTCCCCCCTTTTTCCCGACGATACACCAGGTTTCCGACGATCGGTATCCTCTAAAATCTCCAAAAGGCGGGAGTTACGGAACCAGTGGAAGCGGAAGCGGAAGCGGCGATTTAGGGATTTCTCGAGCCCTAACTCAATTGCTGTCGATTATTAGTCACGTTCAGATTAGTTCTCGTAAGTATGAAGTGGTTCGATCATTGGCGGAGAAGCTGATCGACGAGAATCACCGGGAAGGTATTGAGGAACTTCGTGAGGTTAATCGTGCGGTTCTTTCGACGGCTTTCGATCGGACTATTGCGCAGATTGAAGCCGCCATGCTCCACCAAGGGTTTCGCAACGACGATGACGAGGATGAAGACGGCGAAACTAGTTCTGGACCGGTGGAGTTTTGGTTGGCTCGGGTTGTTAGGGCGGTTTGCAGCCGGTTAGGGAGTGTGAAGGATGGGGCGAACCGGACCGGAAGCTCAGCGGAGAAGCTGGCGGCGGAGTTGCTGTGGCTGGCTGGGAAAATGGCGAGCTGTGGCTGTGGGATTGAGGCGTGTCAGCGGTGGGCTTCGGCTGCTCAGTTGGGAAGACTCTCGCTCTCGGCGGAGCCGCGTCTGTGTTGGTGACAACAGAAAACTGAATTGAGATTGAGAGGAGGAGTGATTTGAATGATGGGGAGGGAGGTCCTTTTATAGGGGATTCCAGAGTTGGTTGAGATTTTCTAGGGTGATTCCGTAGTCGGTTGAGAGATTTTTGTGGATGAATTTGAATTTGAAACCAATTCAAATTCTATTCTATTTGAATTTGAAACCAATTCAAATTCTATTCTATTATTAGCTATTATTAGTTTCAACACCCTCCCTTAAACTGAATTCTGCCTAAATCAGTTTAGGACTTCATTTCATCTTCTTGATATACATCTTGGATTCTGCATATCCCCATCTTTCTTCTGAGCTTCTCGAACAATGGTTGTTTCAAGGGCTTTGTGAATAGGTCTGCGATTTGTTCATCACTTCGGCAAAAGTTGAGTTCAATAATGCCTTCTTTACACAAATCACGCAAGAAATGAAATCGAACATCGATGTGCTTGCTCCTTCCATGTAACACAGGATTTTTAGACAACTTAATAGTTGACATATTATCACAATATATAACCGTCGTACTTGGTTGCTTCTGATTAAGAATTTCAAGCATTTTTCTTAACCAAACTGCTTGGCACGAGCATGCTGCTGCTGCCACAAATTCTGCTTCTGTCGTTGAGAGTGTTACAATAGGTTGCTTCTTTGAAGACCAACAAATAGCTCCTGAACTCATCAAGAAAATACTTCCTGAAGTACTTTTACGATCGTCTATATCACCTGCATAGTCGCTATCTGTATAGCCAACTATCTTCGGATCATCTCCTTTTTTGTAGAATACCCCCAAATCAGAGGTTCCTCTCACATAACGAAGTATCCTTCTTGCTGCATTGAGATGTTTTTCCGTTGGATGCTCCATGTAACGACTTATCATACTAACCGCATACATGATGTCTGGTCTTGTTGAAGTTAGGTACATCAAACTTCCCACAATTTGTTTGAAATACCTATTATCAATCTCTCGCCCGTCAATGTCCTTGTGCAACTTTAAACCCAATTCTGATGGAGTTCCAAATGTGCGCTCATCCAATTTAAATCTTTCAAGTAATTCTTGAGCATACTTCTTCTGACAGATAAAGTTACCTGCGGGAGTCTGAGTAACTTCTACTCCAAGAAAATATCTCATCAAGCCAAGATCTGTCATTTCAAATTCCTTCATCATGCTCTTCTTAAAAAATTCAAACATTTCTTCATTATTGCCAGTAAATATTAAATCATCAACGTATAAGCAAATAATGATAATGTTACCTCCCTTTTCAGTTTTCACATACAACGTATGTTCATACGGGCATTTAGTGAATCCCATCTTTTCAAAATGAGAATCAATGCGACTGTACCATGCCCTCGGAGCTTGCTTCAAACCGTACAAAGCTTTCTTCAACTTGTATACTTGTTCCTCTTTGCCTTTTTGAACAAAACCTTCTGGTTGCTCCACATATACTTCCTCTTGAAGCTCTCCATGTAAGAAGGCTGATTTCACATCAAGTTGATAAATAGGCCAAGATTTCTGTGCTGCAATAGAAATTATGAGCCTGATAGTGTCTTGACGTGCCACTGGTGCAAATACCTCCTTATAATCAATTCCATACTTTTGCTTATATCCTTTTGCAACAAGTCGCGCCTTGTACTTATCCACCTCACCGTTTTCATTCAACTTGGTTTTGAAAACCCATTTTACTCCGATTGTTTTCTGCCCTCTAGGAAGATCAGTGAGCTCCCAAGTCTTGTTCTTCTCTATGGATTTGATTTCACTGTCCATAGCTTCCTTCCATTTCTTCTCTTTTACTGCCTCTTCATAGACAATTGGATCACTATCCATAAAGAATGCAAAATAACCACTATCACTTGATTCATAATCCATCTCATAATCAATCATCCAGTTTGGTCTTTTTCTTGTTCTTGGATGTCTTTGATTTTGATCATGATCTTCTTCTACTGGTTCTTCTTGTTGAGCTTGTGATGAGCTCTCTCCATGCTCATAGTGAGGCTGAATAGGAGCTTCAGTTTGTTCTTCTTCAAGATCTACAGGAATCTGCTGATTCACAGTGATCTTTTCTTCCCATGTCCAAGTCTTATTTTCGTCAAAGACTACATCACGACTTACCACCACCTTCTTTGTCAAAGGATCGTAGAGCTTGTATGCCTTAGAGGTCTCGCTTACTCCAAGGAACACACACTTCGAACTCTTGTCCTCAAGTTTCTTCCTTTTCTCATCAGGAACGTGTGCATATGCTATGCACCCAAAGATTCTAAAGTGGTCTACTGCAGGTTTTCTTCCGCTCCATGCTTCTTGTGGAGTCATGTCTCTAACAGAAAAGGTAGGGCTCCGATTGAGAATGTGAACGGACCACACAACAGCTTCTGGCCAGAATTCCTTCGGGACTTCTCCTTTATTTAGTAAACTTCGAACCATGTTCAGAATGGTCCTGTTTTTCCTTTCGGCCACACCATTTTGTTGTGGTGTATATGCTGTTGTTAATTGCCTCCGTATGCCCTTCTCTTCACAAAATTGAATAAACTCTTTCGAGCAGAATTCTCCACCTCTGTCAGTTCTTAAAACCTTGACTCTTCTTCCAGTTTCGGTTTTCATAGTAGCACAAAATTTTTTGAAGCAGTCAAAGGCTTCTGATTTGGCGTGCAAGAAATAAGTCCATGTTTTTCGACTAAAATCATCGATGAGGGTCATGAAATATTTCTTGTTGCCATTTGATGCAGGAGAGATGGGACCACATATGTCTGAATGAATCAACTCCAAAATTGCTTGAGCTCTTCTTGATTTTCCAGATGGAAAAGAGTTTCTCTCATGTTTTGCTACTACACAGCTCTCGCAAATTTCCATCGGTGGAGTAATATCTGGCAACCCAGTTACTATCTTTTTTGAGGACAACGTCTTTAATCCTTTGAAGTGTAGATGACCATACCTAAAATGCCAAAGCCAAGTGGTATCTTCTTTCTTCACCATCAAACTTTTGGCAACGATATTTAACGTCAACGGATATAGACGGTTGGTGGCAACGATATTTAACGTCAACGGATATAGACGGTTGGTGGTCATCTTCATCTTAGCAATTGATCCTCTTTTGGAGTCATAAATTTCACATTCATCATTTTGGAATGTGATCACATACCCCTTTTCTTGTAACTGACCGATACTAAGTAAGTTGGCCTTCAAATCAGGAATGTAGAATACATTAGAAATAGACTCTACAAAGCCATTTCTAGTCTTGATATCTACGGTTCCTTTCCCCATCACTTGGAGAGATGAATTGTTGCCAAGAGAGACCGTAGTATGAAAATTTTCATCTAAAGTTGAGAAGAATTCCTTACAACCTGTCATATGATTGCTGCATCCAGAGTCTACGACCCATACACCTTGATCTGCAACCTTCATAGCATGGAATGACATTAATAATGTTTCTTCTTCTCTTCTCTCCACAAAATTGGATTGATTTCTTTTTTCCTTTTGGAGCCTGGAGCCTGGTATAACATTCATTTTTGTAATGTCCAAGGCGTCCACATCTGTAACATTCCACCTTAGACTTGTCAAAGTGTCTCTTGCCTTTGTTGTCACAATCGTTTCTGACTAGGTCTGCTGACCTGCCAACATCTCGTTTCTGACTAGGTCTGCTGACCTGCCAACATCTCCACTTCTTTCTCTTGCCTTTGTTGTCACAATCGTTTCTGACTAGGTCTGCTGACCTGCCAACATCTCGTTTCTGACTAGGTCTGCTGACCTGCCAACATCTCCACTTCTTTCTCGACTGCCTCTCTCACGACCTCTGCCTCTTCTTTGGCTCTTCATAACCTGTTTCCACCATATCAAAGAACTCCTTTGATTTGAGAAAATTTTCCATCAACATCGCCCAATGATCATAGTAACCGTCGAACCTCGGGATGGCGGGCTGAACGTAGTTCTCAACTTGTTTTTCTGCTGCCATTTTTGCTGCTGCAAGATCGCTCTGATACCAGTTGTTGGTGACAACAGAAAACTGAATTGAGATTGAGAGGAGGAGTGATTTGAATGATGGGGAGGGAGGTCCTTTTATAGGGGATTCCAGAGTTGGTTGAGATTTTCTAGGGTGATTCCGTAGTCGGTTGAGAGATTTTTGTGGATGAATTTGAATTTGAAACCAATTCAAATTCTATTCTATTTGAATTTGAAACCAATTCAAATTCTATTCTATTATTAGCTATTATTAGTTTCAACAGTCTGCAGGGCTCCTTGGTTAGAGTCGCAGGTGAGTTTTCTTCTCACGCCTCTTTTCATATTTTATTTTAATTTTATTTTGGAATTCTTTTTCGAAATTTAATTTTAGATCTCTAGAAATTAACATTTCCGTAAACTTTAAAAAATATTTTCAATTTTTTAATTTGTGGCAAATAAATTTTCAAACTAAAAATCTTTAAATTTTAATTTTGTATTTATTGAATTTCTAAAATTAAAATTAACATTTCGTGTCCCATTTATTAGAGTTAATTTTTAATTTAAAATTGAAAGTTATTATATTTTTAATTAAAACATATATATATATATATATATATATATATATATATATATATATATATATATATATAATTTATTTATTTATTATTTATTTATTTATTTATTATTATTATTATTATTTTTTAATTTCCCCCTTCAACCACCACCGCCGACCCCCTTCAACCACCACTGCCAGTCGCCGCTCACTGCCGACGACCACCGCCGCCCGCAATTTCTTATTTTCTTTCCTTCATCCACTGTTGTGTTCATATAATATTCTACCTTAACAAAATTGTGAAATGAAATTAAACTTAGAATGTGACATTAAAATTAAACTTGTGTTCATATAATGATCTTGTGTGTAGCTTTCATGTTCAAGCAATCCAGAGAAATGGGAAAGGAAAGTGAGAAACACGCGCAGACGAAGTTGCAGATGCTGATTTCATGGCTTCCATTGTTATGCAGAGGCAGTAACGGCACCGATGCTCCCGTCCTCAGCATTGGGGAGCGGCGAGAGGTGGAGTTGGTGTTGGGGGAGATGATAGGGACACTGCAAAGGGACGAACAAGAGCAGGTTTTGGCTATGTGGCTTCACCATTTCACATACTCTGCCTCCTCCGACTGGCCCAACCTCCACGCCTCATATGCTCACTGGTACAGCGCCTCTCGTAACCTCATCATCCACCAACATCACTAAATGTAACTTCAAAGCAATGCTCCTCCTTGGAAATGCTGTTTGTATATTGTTAGAACAAGTTTAAATTCACGCATCATTTTGTTACCATCACAATTGTATTCACGATTAAAAAGAAAATGATAAAATGTGAGTATTTTTAGCCTATTTTTTAAATAAAAATTGTGGATATTCTTGTCGAAGAAACCGAGATGAAATATCGATCATATAGAGGAGGATTGCGTTTAAGGACACAGGGTATTAACTCAAAAAAGTTTTGAAAAAACGCAGAAACCCAAGGTTGAAGAAGGAGTCTCGCGTGAACTTCACGCTCAAGCGAGATTGCGACTGGCCGAAGGAATTAGCTCGTGGGTTAGTGTAAGTAGGGCGCTTGTAGCCACGTGGCAAGATGGTATATTTGCCAATAACCCCGCTAATACATGCAACAAACTTCGACTTCTAGAAGAGATGCATTTGTTAGAGAAAATGTCTGACACGGGCTCTTCCCGTCACTCTAATAATTCATGATAACTCGAGAGATTCAGTTACTCTAATGATTCATGATAACTCGAGGGAACGCATGGTCACCCATTTGTTTTGTTTATCTCTTTTTTTTTTTTTTTGACAAAATTGTCTTATTTAATCCATATGTTTTAAAAAGGTTTTAATAGATTTTTTTTATTTAATTTTTTTTACAAGATTTTGATAAATTTCCCGGTTTAAATTTTGGGTTGAATAAATATTTATTTATTAACTCGATAAAATTAAATAAAAGCTATTTATTAATTATAAAACTAAAAATTTATAACAATAAAATAAAAGAAAATGGTATCGTATTGGTATAATTAATATGTCACGTCTTCACGAGTAGTCGTAAAATAAAATGCTAGAAGACGTGGATCGATGGAGTAGTGTGACTAATATTGTTGTTTCCTCCACGCTAAGCAAAATGATATTGCACCACACATCCAATTATTATCGCAAGTGTTCGATAATATTTACATTATGAAACGTGACTTTAGGTCATTCTCCCAATATTTTTAAAATATACAATAAAGTTTATGTTTAATCATATATTATATCTTTATAGCTTTTTTAATCATATATTATAATCATGATTTTTCCACGAGGACCATATATTATAAGTGTGATGATTGTTTGAGGTATGCAAAAATCACATGGGATTATGTTTTATTTTATTTTATTTTTATTTTTTGGATAAACAAATAAAAGAAGAAATTAGAGTGGGGTAAAAGTCTCGTAAACTTTTGAACATCGAGATGGTCGGTAACCTGGCTACAGAAGCTCCCACGTTGTTTAGAATCTGATTCATTTGGGCAAAGAAGATTCGAGTAGAACGTCACACCTAATCCACCGTTCGAACCTCCTACATTCACTCCCTTGAAATGTGTAGCATTCTTTTCGATCTTATACCGACACCGCTTAATTAACAAACATCGAGTTTGGAGTCGGGCAATTGTAAATCGAGTTATGGATTCTTCTCTCAAAGTCTCGGAGGAGTATTTTGTAACGTAATTTACTTTATACTAATGTCATGATGTTTTTTGTTTTTCATGTTCTTATTTTGATACTTTTCTTGGTGAGTAAGAATCTTAATTAATAGACCATAAAGAAAGATATGAAACAAAAAGCATGAACGCATCATCCCTACCAAAACTTTATATCTAAGCAAACTACAAACCAAAATCATGGAGACCCGCTCACCTCTTAACCTATCGGATTAGAGATTCGAACCTTCGACCTTTTAACTCGTCGTGTAATTTTGAATTTTTGGGTAGTAACTATTGTGGATTGACCTAATATATGTCGAGTTTTGTAACGTTCGAGTAAAAGAGAGGTATATGAATGAGTCAAAACTACATGTGAACGAGAGCGGTTTTTAGAATATGATGATTAAGAAATGCTTTAAACAATTGATAGTTACTATCTATATGAACGAGGTACGCCTCCTTTTTCGGTAGCTCAATCNTAGAGTATGTTTAGCTTGAAACACTCCTATGTTGGGTGACTTACTGAAAATTTTCGTAAGACATATGTGAGTGATGAAAAACGTGCTGAAGGGATTACGTGTCGGGTCTTAATTTAAAATTTTGGTTTAAATTATGGACACTAAACATTTTAAAATTTGGATGTTTGAATCTCGACTCCATCTTATTTAACCCAAAAAAAAAAAAAAAAAAGTCGGGTCGTGTCGTGTCTAATCATCACAAATAATTGGATTAAGAGAATTATTGAAATACAAGATGGAATAAAGTTAATAAGAACTTAATTACAAATTTATAGAATTTGAAAAAATTATAGAAGGGTAAAAATGGCAATGAAAAGGACTGTAGAAGGGTAAAACTGTCATAAAGTGTGTCTATAAAGTCTTGTCTTTTGATGATCGTTTGGACACTTTTAAAGGAATTTCTTCTCTGTTCTTGGAGTCGTTTAGATCTGACTCAAATTCGCAAATCTTCTTCGCTCTGGATTCTCTTCCGATTTTGCTGTAAGATTCTTTCACATTTTCTTGCAATTCTTGCTTGTTTCTCTCCTGTATTTTCCCTTCTCGCTGTCCGATTCTGAATGCCTGGCAAGGGTTTCTGAGAATCTGAAGAGAATGAATGGACATAGAAATTGGTTGTTTCAGAGGCGTGGAAAATCGAAAACGCCGAATGATTTTGTCGGTTCCGTTGCTCGTTAGAGGGAAATTTTGATTAGATTGTCTTGGGAACTTAGCTGAAGCGAATATAAATTTTTTTGTTCTAAAATGTGTCTATTTTCATTCGTTTTCTCAGCGATCAAATGGTGGCTTATTTCCCGAGAATATTCTCTGAAATTTCTCTTTGAAAGTCAAGATATTGTTCTTCGGCATCAAGCTCTTTTTATGATGTCCCTCTCGTTTCATCTTCTTAAAATACTTGTTGGGTTATAAATTTATGTGTTTGTAGGCGTTGATTTATCTCTATTTCTATCCAAGTGTTTCTCCTTTTCTAATGCCCCTCTTGTTTCATTTTCTTTAAGTGCTTTTTGGGTTCTAAATACATGTTATGTAGGCGTTGGGTTCTCTCACTTTTGTAGCTTAGAAAGAACTTCAAATTTCCATCCAAGTAGTTGGTTTTCCTGTTCCTTTTGTCACATGAAATGCTACTTTTCTTCAGTGTACTGTGTACTGACTTTTGTGTCAAATATTTGAATGAATGCAGATTGTTTTAGTACTACGCTTTATGTATTCAATACATCTCATCAGTTTGTGAATTTACGTTTCTTTACTTTTATATGATGTAAATATCTGTGTTTATTATCGTTTTTCATGTTTTGCAGGGGTTCTATTATATAAGTTGTGGATGTGTTACCTTTACATATCGGGAGAATAATATGCTTTGGTTGAGCACATCCATTGATGTATTTCGCAAAGTTGTGCATTTGAACCTCTATTGTAGGGTTATTTTGTAAAGCACTTTTTATATCGGCAACACTGAATTATTCCTCCCTGAGCTCGTTCTTTCAATCAACCATGGGCTCCAATCACTTTTTTATCATTTCCTGTGATATCTATATTAGCTGAAAAGCTTCCTGTCTCTAAGCACCATTTTGCGTTCATTCTTCTGTTTTAAATTCCCTTTTTTCTGCTTCTTTGTCAAGGAATCTAAAGTTTCCTCGTTCATTTTTATCAACTAGTGAGTTTAGTTCTTTCTGCAGCGAATATTCTCCTTTTACCTTCCTCTTTCTTTGTTGTTTGTACCCTCTTGTGGCTTCTGGTATAGAGGAATTGTTATCCGTTAAGGTTCAGAAGTAGTTATGGTGTGCCAAGCTGCAACCCAGACAAGATTTCGGACATTGAAACACGAGAACGGAATTGCTGGAAAACCAACGATTATAGTTAGAGTGATCGCATGCTTTCAACCTTTGCAGAATTGTCAGGTTTGTCAACTCAGTTTCTGCCCCCTGGTTTTGCGTGTTGATTAATAATTAAGTATTGGAATATTTTTACGTTTATTTTATTTGAAAATGCATCAGTAGGCTCATTGAATACCATGATCAAGCTTTTGATATTTTCCTGTTCCAGGCCGAGTATTTTCGACACTTACTTAAGCCGGTCACGTAGATTGACTAGCGTTTGTTTCTCTTTAGCTGGATTTTGTGAACCTTTTTTTCTCCTCTTCTTTGTTCCTGCAAGCATTCAGCAGTTAACTCCGATTGTAGACCAGAGCACAACATTTTGAGGTAGTTCTTGCTGCATGCTTGCGAAGTTTATTCTCCCTTTTGTTATTTTGATTGTAACAAAATAGTGATCCTTCGATATGATAATTAGGTGATTGTTTTTCTGGATGGTTGGGACTGATAACTCTCAGCTGGGTTTTGGGCATTTTGCTTGGCAATTGCGTAATCATAGTTCAATGAACGCATCCGTAGAGATCAAGCAACAGGAAAGCTTACGAACTCATATCAACCCTGGAAATTGCATATTTTCCACATGTGTAGGAATGCAAGGGTTGGCAATTCCTCCACCATTACCCAATTTTAAAGTGGAACTACTAAATGTTGTTCAGCGGTCAAATCAATGCTTATCCCCTCATTTCCAGAACTCACTCAGCATTCCATTTCCTTCTCAGAAAGAGGAAGAATCTCTGCATTATGCTGGACCACCTAGTGAGATGCCTTTGTCAATATCAAATAATGGGTCCTATCCAAAAGGTTTTCTTATCTTTGATCAATCTGGAAACCAGAAGAGATTGATGTATGCTCCTATGTCTCCTCCTGTCCACTCAACTGTTGCTGACAATAAGCGTCCTGGTTGGCTTGAAGAAGAAGGGGTAGTCGGAGACATTAATTCTGTCAAATATTTTCCAAGTACACTGTTCAATGAGAATTATGTAGCTGCTGGAGAGAGTGAAATGCATGAAAACACAGAAGAAATAGACGCGTTACTTTACTCAGATTATGATGGTACTGGTTGTAGTAGTGACGATGAAGTGACTAGCACCGGACATTCTCCAGAGATGATCAATGAACATTATGAAAAGAATGAACGATGCCAGGAAACTACTACAAAAGTTGCTAGTTCTGATGGCCCAAGAAAAAGGCAAAGAGTGCATGATGGTGAGTCAGTAAAATCACCGCGAATTGCTACTGTTTCTCGTGCAAGAGTTGAATTACAGAAGTTTGCCAATGATGCGGAATCAGGCTGTGGCATGGTCCATGAGGAAGAGGCTGGAACAGATGTTGATTTCTGCAATTCTTTTTGCAAAAAAGACAAGATCAAGGAGACATTGAGAGTACTTGAGAACTTTGTTCCTGGTGCAAAGGGCAAAGACCCATTGTTGGTCATTGATGAAGCCATTGATTACTTGAAGTCCTTAAAACATGAAGCAAGCGTTCTGGGTGTGAGCTGCTATTAGATAACATGCCCCTAATTTATATGTTGGTGGTTAATTGGTTAAAATTACGGTGTCATGGTGCGGTAACTTAAAGAATTCTTATTTTGAATTTTGATGAATCCAAGAGCAGTCTGTTTACTAGTGCAAGCTGCTTCCTATCACGAGAACACTGCGATGGATTAGCAAATGGAGGTGTATTATCAGGATAACATTGAACCTAGCCGGAAATGAGTTATTAATTGCCTTTCTTATCTGTTTACTCGACATGATTATGTTTGATACTTTTAAGGGACTAAAGATCAGGGGAAAGTCGCAAAGATTTGAACGCATGGGATGTGATAGTGGTGGGTTATGTTGATGAGAAATTAAAGACCCCACTTTTTCCAGCAATATGGAGAATGTCCAAGGATTTGGTGCATGCGCGTTAGGTATGTGAGGCCCCACTTTCCACATCTTTTTTCCTGGATTATATGCTATGTCCTTTCCCCTATTACCCATTTGTAGAGGTTATGCTGTAAAGTGGTGCTTGTCCCTTGTGGTATTAGGTGGATGTTGCACGGTGAAACTTTTGTGGGGGAGTTTTGATTATGAGCACTGTGAAACTTTTTGACTGCGCTCAGGTTTGTGTTGATGTAATAATTGGTGTGAACGCTTTTTTGAGTCCATTATGGTACCGCTTTCTGTATGCTCGTACTTGACCCAAGTCTTGAGAATACTGGCTGTACAATTATTGTTGTCAAAGTGTCTTCTGTTTGCTTATTGTTCTGTTTAAACCAAAATTTCTCGATGCTTTTTGGTCCTTGGAAGACACCTGCCCTCTGACCCTCCCGAGTCCCCATCCTTGGTTTGATCTTCTTTTGTGCTATTTTTCTCCAGGAATGCTTCGATAACTGAGTTGGGAAATCTGTTTGTATAAGCTTCTCCTAACTAGGCAATCTAGTGTATTATGGGTTGACAAATGTAATCGAAGCCTTCCAACCCTGAATCTATGGTTTGGGTCTTGGTTTCTTAGGCCGGCCTTGGCTCAATCTTAGAGGTAAAGTAGACAAGTGCCCTGTGAATTAGCCAATTGGAAGTTTGCTGATATGACAATATTTAGATATTGGACAAAGAAACAAAGCATTCCTTAGGAGAGTGTGTAAACCTCTTCCTAATGTATGCGTTTTATAATCGTGAGACTGACAGTGTAACAGGCCAAAACATATAATATCTACTAGCTGTGGGCTTAGACTGTTACAAATAGTATCAAAACTAGACATCGAGCGGTGTGCTGGCGAGGACGTTGAGCCCCCAAGGTGGGTGAATTTTGAGATCCTATATATCGGTTGGAGAGGGGAACGAAACATTCTTTGTAAGGGTGTGAAAACTTCTCCCTAACGGATGAGTTTTAAAACCATAAGACTGACGATGATATGCAACGGGTCAAAGTAGACAATATTTTCTAGTGGTATGCTTAGAAGACTCATTTCTTGTAAATAAAAGACTAATATCAAGGAATCTAGAGCCTATGTATCTATAAGCTTAAAATTTATTCGTCAATGAATGATTCATCTTAGAATTCGAGTGTTCATGCAGTGGAACTAAAAAAAAAATGATGAAGAAAAACAAAGGCATTAAACCAGTAAAAGAAATGTGCTTTATTTTTCACCAATTGCAGGAACCATATGACTAACCTCCCACTCTCACCAGTAAAAAATCTTAGAAATAATGGCACAAAACTCACCAAGGAGTGAAAAGAGACCACTACAAATTTGGGAAACAGATGAATTATATAAGCCTATTGCAACCAGCAGAAGGTGATTGATTGCTGTAAAAAAAAAAAGTAGAGAGTGAATTCCCATTTTCACCCTGATACTTATTCCTCAAGATATTGAGTTCCTCCATCTTCTGTGTACTTTTTTAGTCTGTTCTCCCATGTTTTGATGCTGTGATTCATTTTCAGGGGTTTCCAAATTCGACATCTTTGTCAGTTTGCTCAGTTTCTTCCACCCACTGGTCCACGCAGAGCTCTGCTTCTGCTTTGAAACCTTCTCATACTGTCTCTGCAGGCTTTCCATTTCAGTTTGAAGCTCAAGGTACTTAGTCTTCACACTCTCTAGCTCAAATTTCAGTGTGTTTATGTCTTTCTTAGCAGTTGCCCATCCTTCTTGGAATGACTGTGGTGTAGCTTCCAGCAGCGTTTTTCTGTTAGTTACAAGCGTTTGAAACTGCGAATCAGTCGCTTCTTTTAGCGACGAGTTCGCAATTGCATTGCTTATTTTTACTTGTTCTGAGAAAAGAACCTGAACCACTACTCGTAATGGAAGCCTTTCGTTTTGTGCTGCGTGCATGCAGGCGTCCATGGACAGCTTCTGGCAGTCCATTACTCGACATAGTCGCTTCCTCTCGTGCTCAGTTAGCGTAGGGTGTGCCTGTCAATTCTAATCATTAGTTCAACACTTCAATTCCACAAGTTTAGGAAGTTTGTAAGTTCTTTTACCTTAAGATAGGAATCAATAGCTCGGTAAAGCCCGTCGTCACACGTTCGAGCCGATTCTGGCAGAGCTTCAGCCAATACTTGAAACTTTGTCAAGGTAAGGTTTCTATCTCTAGCCACCTCTGTTAGGTAACTATCAACAAGCCTTGCCACCCTCATCTTAGCATTTGGGGCAGTCTCTCTCTGAGATCCATCATTCATATGTTTATCAGAAAATGATTGTCGGCTCGGACTCGAAATTTCAGTCTGTTCTTGAACAAGAAAATGCTCTAGCAGCCTCTGAATAAGATCAACATCATACATTGTATCACTCTTGCTGTAAGATGGGATCAAAAGATCCACAAGTGTAGCTTGTTCAAACTGCATTCCAACTCTTTTCTCCAGCTCAGTGACCAATGCTGGTGCAACTTTCAACATGTTTGCCATTCTAAGTAACTTTAGAAGGAAGCTACAGGAGACACAATCTTTCTGTGGAGGAATGATACTGATCAAGCTCTCGACGATCATGCGTTGATCTTTCGCTTGAATCGTCGAGGGATCTTCCTTGTTACCAGCCACAATCATATGAAGCCCACCTTTCCAACTGTTGCTGCCACTGCTCGTGTTACTCGTGGTGCTGGTACTTCCTTCGTCACCAGCACTCGTCGTATCGATCACCAAACCCGGAAGCCATTTAGATGAATAATGCATAATTGATGATCCAATGAGTTCAATTCTCATACCCTTTACTTTAATTGCTGTGATTACTCTAACAAAATGATCAATCCTCAAGATTGAGACATCCTCAAACCACCAGTCAGGAGGAACAAGCTGATTCCTGCTAGGACTTGAATCCTTCAAATCATTCCATTTAGGACTACTAGAAACTTTGGGAGGTTTCCCAGTGTAAGCCCATCTAATTCCTTTCGGATTGGCACAAGCTTTCCAAGCGATCGACTCGCTGCATCGTCGCACGATTTGTAGATTCTCAGCCCATGGTGAGAGCTTCTCACAACTTTTCAACACAACTATTGAATCCCTCCATGAAGATAGTACCACATAGCTAAGAAATGCTTCAGTTTTGAATATCAAATTACCTTCCTCCAAATCTTCTGTCATTTCTAGATACTCAGCAGCACATCTAAGGCCAGAGATATTAGCTGCTGTTAAATCAACTGCTATCCCATAGCAAAACTTAGCAGCAAGTTCAAAAGCCTCCGCCCCACCAGGAAGATCATCCAAAACAACCTTATTCAAATCTGGGTCTCTTGATTCATATATGCATCTGTTAATCTTCCCACTTCTAGAAAGAAGAGGATACTTCAAACAAAAGAACCCCATTCAAAATCTCAGATTAAACCCTTGAAAAATCATCACAAAAACAGAGGAAATTATACCACACCTTATGCAAATGGAAGTTCATATCCTCAACTTGTACTAAAAAGTCACTTGGGATATCAGTGGAAACATACCTACAAGAACAACAACAAACACAAAAACCCCCAAAACAGAACAAAAGAAGAAAAGGGCATTTACAAAATGTTCATCAGAAGAAGAAGAAGAGACCAAAAATTGAAGCAGAGGAGGAGGATGAAAGCTTACCAGGAGTTGCCTCGGAGCTGGAAGCCATCGGTCTTGAGGGCGTGTTTGGCGGAGTGGGGGACGCCATTGGCGTAATCTCGAGCACCGACGGAGTCGCTTTCAGATTCCCACATGATGAAGGGAAATGGTGGGTTTGTCTGTGGGGAAAGTGGGAGGAGAGGGGGGGAAATGGCGGAGGAAGGAGGAGGATATGAAGAAGAGGGGGGAGATGGAAGAAGCCCACATGGGATGATTGTTGAATTGTCGGGTTCTTCACTGATTTTTCAGTGGATGAACTTAAGGAACACTTTTTCACAGGCTGTGGAGTAATGGGCTGAGAGTTAGGTGTATAGGTGACGGATCATTCTGATTCCATTCTCTTTGCTTTGGTTTTGCATTAATAATTCCCTTTTCTAATTCTCTCTCTCTCTCTCTCTCTCTCTCTCTCTCTCCCCCCTCTCCTCTTCAATACGTGGACGACATGGAAGGGACCAAGAACACAGCTAACAACAGAGCTTCTGCTTTCAGGTACCCTAAATATGTATTGAATTATGCTCGAATTTACGTGTTTTTAGTTAAATAAATATGAAACAAACGTCGTTGAGATGTTCGAGAGCTTATGAAACATAGATTCCATGTTAAGAGAATTGCTTATTGATGTTTTTGTCCTTTTTTACGTGTATTTTCTTTATTTATTAAATTTTTAAAATTTATAATTAAACTAAAATGGAAGATTTGTTTACTAATTAAAAAACATTGGAATTTGAACTATTTTATTGAACTATTTGAACGGAATAAGATAAATTTTGTCAACCCAATCATAATTCAATGGATAAAGTCAAGATATTTTCGAGATTTTGAACGTAAATTTAATAGTTAGAAATATATATATATATATATTTTAATAATTTAGGTGATAGAAAGCATTTTTGGATTAAGTTAGAGAGAGTGGTTGACCATTAGGGTTTTGAAGCAATAATTATTAGGGACAATTTTCTCTTTTTCTTTTTTTTTTTGTACTCAAAATTTCTCATTATTAGATGCTACAAAATGCACATGCCCTTGGATTTGGTCTTCTTGGATGAATGGGTCCTTTTTGTTTTTAATGTTCTTCCTTTTTTTTTGTTTTTTTTTTTTTTAATTTTCAAAATGATAATAATTCTATTATAATATACTTAATTATCTGCCCATACTAACCATATATACCTCTTTTTGGTGGCTCAATTATTTATAAGAATTCTAAAATTAGACGTGCTTAACTTGGAGCCATTACAATACAAGTTCTTTTGATATAGGGTCTACTATAGCCACGGACACTAATGGAGTGGTGATGTTGGTGATGTTGCATCTGCTCGAGTCATGGATCCCTCGCGAATCGAACCCCCTCTACCTCGTCCTCCTCTACATCCTCTTCCACATACTCTAGTGGCATGTCTATAACCCGCATTCAACCTAACAATTTATCATCTTTCGTATGACATACTTGATGACCACGGTATATTAATAGTGGGACCATGAAAATTGAAGACAAGTTGATAAAATAACCATGTCAGATGGGGAACGTCGGGACATTAGATCTCAAATCTAAATTTCAAATCCTAATCTGAATCTTAGACACGGGACATTACAAAAACAACAGAGTTATTCCCTACCATGTTGAATATTTTCGATCCCCACTTATTCACCACCCGAACACATCCATTTGATTCATGAAAGATCACATATTTTCTTTCATCCAAAAGTAAAGGGAGATTTTCCTGTTCGGAGATCATTGCTTTAAGAGGTTTGGATTCATTGTCTCATCCCCTTTTTGCTTATCAACCAACCAACCAAAGATTAAATAATTAAATAATTAAAAATAAAATAAAATAAAAAATAATTATGAGTCGATTTTATTATTATAAATATATAATTTTCATGTCTTTAAATTGATGGAAAATGAATTGAACCTCTCTTATTCCTTTACCCCACAAAGCTTCATACATCATGTCAGACAGTGGGTCTCATTTTTTTTCCTCCCTTAAATTATTCAAATATCAATTTTCTTAAATTAATAATTATGTCTTATTTAAATTTTAAAAAAGAAAGGTTTGATTTAATTATAGTATGAGCGACGCTCGAGTAAATATAATACATGAATAAACCGAGATCATATCCAAATGAGACTGATTCAGTTAATTTTACCAAATAACGTCAATGAAGACAAAACGTGTTGGTTTGTCGGATAATTTTCCGACCTCAATTTAATTTTAATTTTTATAAGATAATTATGTAAATATTACGTAATTTAGTATTATTATGATAAAAATAATTATTTATATCACGTCAAGACATTCTATTGATAGACAATCAACTATAATGTTCAACTCGTGGAATAAATGCTAGGAAGAATGACGTTTTTTTTTTAATATCTTCTAAGATATTTATATATATATATAATATTTAATAATAAGATAGGCTTTAATTTAGGATAAAAATGCATTAAAAACGCTATTGATAATGTATTTGAAAAATACTATTATTAATTTAAATAATAATTGTGTTGGCCCAATAGCGACGTGGATAAGGAAGGAGGGGCCCTTGATTGGTGGCGTTTGTGGGTGAGAATATGTTTCCCATTCCTCACCCGCATTCATATTTTATTTTATATATTATTTTTTTCATCTTATACTAATAATTCTTATATTTAATAATTATCCATTTTTTTATTATTATTATTATTTTGTTTAATTATGAGGAATTTATTATTATTATTATTATTTTGTTTAATTATGAGGAATTTATTATTATTATTATTATTATTTTTATATTTAAATAATTACCCATTCCTCACCCGCATTCATATTTTATTTAAAATAATTTTTAAATCCAACCAAATTATTGAACTAATCAAACTTAACTAAAAAAAATTATTTTTATTAAAAATAAAATATATTTTGAAAAATTACTTTCCATATAATTAAGAATCAATTTAAGGAGTTATGGGATAATAAATAATAAAGGTATATATATATATAATTTAAGAATGTATTTTTTAAAATTAATAATAAATTTAAATGGGTTTGGTTCAACCCATTTAGTTTTAAATAACTCATAAACCAAACCTAATCTATAAAATTTTTATTTATACGAACTCGACCTGACCCAAATAAGTTCATAACTCAACTTAAACCGTATGTATAGAGTTGGATTAGGTTGATTGGATTTTTCGGGTCATCAAATTTTTTAACACTCTTATACCGAACCTAAAATTTATCGAAATAAAACACAGCTTAGCTTTAAAACCAAAATATAATCATGAACGTAAACGTTTGTACAAATGATTCTTCTCAAACTAATGAATAAAAGTTTAGATCTGGTCGTGATTCTTAATACCTAAGATAATGAAAAGAAAACACGTTTGGATGAGTGAGAAAGAACGAAAGAAGGATGGAACGAGAAGATCGATGAACATCTGTATCCTTATGCACGAGGGTTTAGGTTTAGAAGTGTACAAAAGTGGATGAATATGAAGCAAAATGGGTGGTGGGAAATGGAGCCTCGTTGCCTTCTTCATCTTCTTCCCACATGCTTCTCTCCCTTTTATGTTAGGGTTTGGCTTGGCATCATATATCACCATTCATATTCATTAATTAATTCATTGTTTTAAAGTTAGGATAATAAAAATAATTGTATGAGCCAACAATTTATAAGATTTATAAAGATTTTGAATTTGGATTTGATATCGAAAACCGTTTTAAACCGGTTATGAATCCAATCCAAACGGTACGGTTCGAATTAGGTGATGAATTTATTTGGGTTGAGTTCGGTTTAGAAAAACGAATAAATAAAAATTTTACGAACTAATATTTTATTTTTATTAAAAATAAAAATTTGAACAAATGATCAAAACAAACCCGACCTAACCCACCAAAAAAAAATTAAGGTTGGTTAGTATTTGACCAGGTTGGACTGGGTGTAAAAATGTCTCAACCCAACCCAACCCAACCCAACCCATAAACACTCTTAGAATGAACCAAGACTACATTTGAATCGGAGTGATTATGAAAACGTAAAATTATAATTAATACATGTTTTAAAAGAATCATTAGTCACTGCCCATAAAACAAAATGTATTATGTTCGATGGCTCAATCATTAGAGTTCCGAAGTTAAGCGTATTTAATTTAGAGAATTTTATATTGAATAATCTCTTAAAAATTTTCGTAAGAAACATGTGAGTGAAAACAAAACATACTGAAAGGATTTGTGTTAGATTGTGGGGTAGCCTTCACTCTTATAAGCAGTTTAAGAAATATAGGTAACATAGTCATGTCGTAAGGTATGTAGGAGATGCTAGAGCTATTAGTGTCGACTCCCGATTCCAAAACCGGGTATGATTCATAAGCACAGATGTTATCGATCAATTATTTACTTAAAAAAAATAGTTTATTCTAAAATAAAAAAAGGTATTGATAATTAAAGTGACATTTTTGTTGGGAAATATTTGGTTGTATTATTAGGCCTACAATGGATATTGAGTATATTTGAATGGAAGCTATGTTGGGTGAAAAATAGACATTTTATAAACAAACGAAAGAGACTCCACAAGCAATTTTGTTGTTTTATATAATATGTTGCTCAAAAAATTAATATTTGTTTTTAAAAATTATTATTATATTATTTATTTATAAAGTAATAATTATTATTTATACCAATAAGATACATTTTTTTTTTTTGGTAGCTCAGTTATAAAAATTTTAAAATTGAACGTTTTTGGCTTAAAACAATTTGATGTCAGCTCAAAACATGCTAAAATGACTCGTGTTTAGGACTATGAGAAACCCACGAGAACATTGGGCCATCTCGAGCCCACGCTTGATAAATTCATTTGAAGGCCCAATTGCTATGCCAATACACATCTTTCTGGGCCTTATTGTGCTTCAGCCCAATTAAAGGTAATTATGATTAAGAACCTCTAAACATAATATATAATCATTAAACTCTCTATCTAATTAATTGTGTTTCAATTAATGAAGTCATTTGTTGAATCATTAATGCAACAATCCTACGATTAAATTAAAAGTTTAGTTTTAAAATCGTATTTATTTTTTTATTCATAAATTTTAACAATATGTTTAAGTTACGAGATATGGTCTGTTTTGACTCGTTACGTATCGTTGTCAGTCTCACAATTTTAAAATGTTGTCCTATTAGGAAGAGGTTTCCACACGGTTATAAGGAATGATTCGTTTTAAAACTTATGAAATTTTAAACGATAGTTCAATCATTTCAAAGTTTTAGAGACGGTTTTCAACTCAGTTTCGAATCGGCCAATCCGTTAAATGATTTAAAACTGTTTATTAGAAAAAAAAAAAAAAAAAAAACACTAAAATTGGGCAAAAAATCATTATTGGTTACAAGAACATTCATGAACATGATTTGCAGTGGCGTGTGCTGCTTCATTCATCTTCCTTATCTTCACCTCATTCAGAACATTCTTAGCCCACTCTGAAAAGTACGTTCTATTATATCTGCTTACATTATCAAAAAAAAAAAAAAAAAAAAAAAAAAAAAAAAAAAAAAAAAAAAAAAAAAAAAAAAAAAAAAAAAAAAAAAAAAAAAAAAAAAAAAAAAAAAAAAAACGTATTAAAGAGAAAGTCTAAAAAGGACAATATCGACTAGCGGTGAGCTTGAACCGTTACAAATGGTATTAGAGTCAGAAATCAAGTTATGTGTCAGTGAGGAGACTATGCCTTGAAGGGGGTGGACACGAAGCGGTGTACCAACAAGGACGCTAGTCGATTGTGAGATCTCACATTGGTTAGAGAGGAAAAAAAAATACTCTAAGGATGTGAAAACCTCCGGAAACATTTTAAAAACTTTGAGGGAAAGCTTGTGAAACCCAAAAAGAACAAATATTTGTTAGTTGTGGGCTTGGGTCGTTATAAATATATTATAAAGATTAAGAGGTTAATAGAGACTTGATATGAAAGTTTAACAACGAAAGTAGAACGATATCGAACACGAAAAGGGAAAGGAACGTACCCGATGGTGCCACCTTTGAAGATGGACATGCAGCGACGATCATCTTCGTTATAGGGACAGGTTAAGCCATGAGGGTCTCTCCAAGCACCTTGATGCCTCATTCCAGACCAGCTTGCCATCCATTGGTACACAAACTGGCCAATGCCTGCAAGTTTAAGCCAACCTTTTGGGAAGAACTCCATTACACTGCTGTTTCTATCCATTAGAAACATGTTTGTCAGCTGTGCTCCATGTGGGGACACCAATATGTCTGTCTTCCCCATTAAACTTACCTACAAAAATACAAAATTTCAATTTCGGAGCGAGGTGTTCATAAGTTAGATTGGATGAACGGAACAGTACCTGCTCACAAAACGTGAGATTATTAGAATGAGCCACCCTAAGCTGACAACCGGTGACTTTATTACATTCTGCCCCAAAAATCTCCACCACCGCCGTCTCATTCTTAAACGACCTAGCTCCAGTTCTCATAAACAACGTCATCCCAACCGTCGCCACTGATGGCTCCGATGAGGTGAAGTTGCAAAACAATCTAGCCTTGCATCTCATGAGATCATAAGTCTCCATCCGACGCTGCCTTGACATTCCACCCTCGTTGTGCCTCATCACCACTGCCTTCTCGAAGCAAACCGGCTGCCCCTCACCGATACCGTCAAAAGCTTCAATCTTTGGCGGCCCTCCGAAGGTCACCTCCATTATTGTCCTAACCCATGTTCCCATCTTCAACCTCAACTCCCCCCAATGATATAGTATCCATCTCTCCGGGATTTCACACTTTCCTATCGTAAATTCATATCATTCAATAAAAATGACACATAATATTACGACATAATCTTTCCTTCTTAATTTATGAACGGATTGAGAACCCTCATAAAAAAAATTAACATAAACAGATATCTCTAATTTTTTAGTTAATTAAATTTTAAATCTTTTCCAAGAACAAAACTTAAAATTTAAGCAAAGAATTGACCAATATGAAAAAAAAAAAGAAAAAAAAAAGATTTTGATGATCAGTTTCAAATGGGTACCTTGAATTTGGTGCCAAGCAACGAAGGGCATGAGAGCAGACAAGCCATGCCAAATATTATCATAATTATAATGATTATAAGACACAAAGCTCAGGCCTTTCATCACCGTGGCATTTTCCGGCAGTGTTTCCGGCCAGGCCACGGCGTAATAGTTCCAAGAGCCGTCGTGGGTGTCGTTGCCTTTAAGGCATAACAGCCGGGCATCGCCGTCAGCGGCCGGCGAGGGGAATTGCTGGAATTGAACCTCGCCGTCCTCGTGAATGTCATACATGGAGCTCATGAACCACGTGTGGCCCTCGAGGGGTTTGTGGGAGTAACGCAAGTCTTTGAGGGGAAGGAAGGTGACGGAGCGGCGGAGCTTGGCGACGGCGGAAGAGGAGGAGGAGGGGTTGTTTTGTGGGGGCGGAGGGACATGGCGGTGGAGAGATTGGATGTGGAAGAAGATGAAGAGGACGGCGGAGATGGAGAGGAGATAGATGAAGAGCTTTGGAGAGAAGAGGATGGAGGTTGTTCTTTGGTGTGGCTTAGAGGTGTGGGAAGGTTTAACCATGGCGGTGGCGGTGGTGGTGGTTCGATATTCTCTCTCTCAAAATGATAATGGAATTTTGAGTTTCTCTCTCTTCCCCCACTACTTTAAGTTGTAATGGAAATGTGAGGAGGATTTCAACCAAAGAGATTTGTCATTGAATTGAGTTCCCATTAGTCAATTATTTAATGTCCTAAAGATCCACGCAATTCGATGGTGACGTGGCGATCATCTCTGTTCTCATTGGTTAGGGAGAGAACAACCCACTATTTACAAAGGTGTAGAAATCTTCCCTTACCAAACGCGTTTTAAAGTCTTGAGAGAAGCTCGAAATGAAAAGTCTTGAGCCGTTACATAGTCTCTTATATGAATATGGTTTTCGTTAATTTATGTAATGTATATATTATTTAATTTGGAAGCTTTACAAAAATAAATAAATAAATAGGCTACCTTGGAAAATATATTAAATAGAAAAACTAAAAAAAAAAATCAAATTAACACAAAATAAAATACCCTAAATAATCAATAACTATTCTATTAGACATAAATTTTAATTTTATATCCAATAACTCATCGTTAATTAATTTATAAATATTTAAAATATAAATTTAAAAAATCGATAATATTTGAATTAAATATGATGAATTAAAATAAGGATAAAATAATAATGAGTTAATAGTTTTGATTGAGAAGTTGGTCACACTCAACATAAGAGTAAATGGGTTGAGATCCCAAAGCAATTTGCAAAGAAAAGTGAAGGTTTTGAGTAATTTTGGGGCATTCCCCATTTTTAAGCAACAATATATTAATTATTCATATAATTTATTGCATAAACTTATTATTATTATTATTTAATTTGTTTAAAAAGTGTATTTTTAACTTATAGCTCAAATTTTAAAGTAAAATTGGAAAACATATCTAATTTTAATTATATTCTTCGAGGATGAACAAGAGAATTACATCTTTTTATTTAAAGTTTTGATATTAAAAGAAAATTCTAAAAGTATCTAAAAATGAGATAATATTGAATCACACGATTGAAATAGAGAAAATCAAAGAGAGATATACAATTTTTGTCGTTAATATTTTTTTTTTATTAATACTATTTTTCAAAGTTTATAAGTATTTTTTAACTTTTTTTTTTTAATTTTTAAGTTAAAGTATTATTTAACCTATTTTTAATTTTAATTGCGTTTATTCTTATCACAATTTCTTTTAAGAGTAGTTTTCATCTCACTTAAAGAAAGCCTCAAATTCTTAGCTAGATTCTAAAAACTAACAACATAGAAATGAAGTAACACTATACAACTAGAATTTAAGTTACGATTTAGATTCAAAACTTAATACTTTACCCTAAACCCTATGTTTGTAGTTCAAGTGAATTTTGTGTTATATTTGAAAAAGTGAAAGGAAAGAAAAATACAAGGGAAATTGATGGGCTTTGACAACTTTTCCCAAGAGAAGAAGCATCCAACCCCCTACCCAAGCAACATCCCCATTCTAAGCTTTGGTTCCTTCTACTTGGAACATGTATGTAATTCAATGTCCCTTCAACAAACATAAAAAGCTTTTTTAAGAAAAACACACTAGAGGCTAAGTGGATATGGAGTCTGTTAGACCAGTTACGTATACCACTCTTATCTCAATGGTTCCATCTGTATGGATCAATATAATTCATTCTTCAAAATCATGAATTCCTCGTTTCTAATTTAATGAAGACTTTAATAACCTGAACTGTTAAAATGAGGATAAAATGTGATACAATTTAATGAATTATGAGGATCAGACACAGGAGCTCCATCAACAAGAAGAAACACATAATCGACATGACTGAGAACCAATGAAACAAATTATATCAGACGAAAGAATGAAAGAAGATAGTATAGAGTCCATCCCAAACTGTGAAAGATACACACAAGGAAAAAAAAAAAAAACGAAATATAATGTACTCAGTAAGCAACTACGAAGTAAATCACTCAGATACAAGAGAACTAATCAATATCAAATCAAACAGCTCTCAGATCATAAAAACGATGGCGAACAGCACAGCGGCCACAGATCCGAACATCGAGAGAGAGATCGAAGCGGCGGAGTTACCAGACGGAGCCGGAGCGTCTGCTGGAGGGGAGGATATCGACGATGGAGAAGGAGAAGGAGACAGAGACGGAGAAGCAGCAGGAGGAGATGGCGGAGACTTCAAAGAAGTCGGAGTAGGCGCTGCAGCAGGAGAGGATTTCGGCGACTGGACAGACGGAGAAATGGACGGAGCCTTAGACGGCGATTTAGTCGGAGACAATGACGGAGATGCCGACGGCGATTGCGCGATTGCGGAGACGATCAACATCGCCACCGTAACCATAACCACAAAACCTCTATGCGCCATTTCTGTAAATTGAAATATTCACCGGGAGAATACAAAGAATCTAGAGCGAGAAATACAGGAAAATGAAGAAATCAAGAGAGAGAAAGTGAGTTCTGGGATTACACCAGTAGCAGAGAGGAAGTATATATAGAACAAAAAAACACAGTGAGAGTCCGATGAGTCAAAGCTAGATCCACGCCAGCCGTTGGATCGGACTAATATGCTTAATCAGAGGCATGCCATGATGAACGGCGGATAGAAATCCGAAATTCAAGGTTGGCGTAATAATGAGTGTAGCCAATCATGCCCAAAAGAGGCGGTTATTTATTTACTTTCCTTTTATTGCGTGAAGAATCCTAGCTGGACTGCCTTGGGCTTTCTGCGGCACTGGTCCACCATAACGATACAGTTGTGAATTGATCTAAAACATCCACGTGGACGCGCTGATTATCTGGATTTTGAAGGGATTAATTTTAATATTAATTAAATACTCAGATACGACAATTTGTAACGGTCATAAAAACTTTGGGCTGGGACATGACCGTTAAAAGGGCGTTACAGCCTGGATCCGGACTGGCAGGCGGGTCCCACTAGGTCTAAATATGTAAATAAAGTTATTTATTGAGAATATGAAAAGAGAAATTATTTAATGATTTATATATTTTTATTTGGTATGTAATAATTATAAATGTGAAACTGAAACTGAAACAGATAGGATTTCCGTTTCAGCTACGGTTTTTGTATTTTTCTTAAAATTTACGTTATTTTCCAATAAAATTATAATAAATAAAAGTATATTTTAAAATTAGTAATAAATTCATATGAATTTTAATTCAACCAAAATTAATTTTAGGAAACTCAGGAATGAATAAATAACAGTTAAATTCCAACAACTATTGTCGGTATATCTTCAGCCTTACAGTTTTAAATATTAAATAGGGAAATGTTTACACACTGTTAAAAGAATGTTTTGTTCCCCTCTCCAACCAATAAGTGATCTCACAATCCACCCCAAAGACTCAACGTCCTTATTGACACATCGCCCGGTGCCTGACTCTGATACCGATTGTAACAGCCCAAACTCATCGTAGTAAATATTGTCTGTTTTAGCTCGTTGTGTATCGTTATCAATCTCATAGTTTTTGTACGATCATTTTTTATTTATTAATTTAACAAAATATTTGGGTTAGATTATTTTTAATTAATTAAATTTGAAACAGATAATAAATTGACACGTATCCCAAATTTAATTTGAAGACACAAATGCTGAATTAAAAGGGCACATGTCTTTGTTATGACAATTTAATCAAATAATTAAACTTAATTTGGTTAAATTGAGGGGTAAGGAATTTGAGTTAAAGTGAAATAAAACTCGAATATGAATGACTAGGCCCAAAGCTAACAAAGCCCGAGCCCAAGCCCACGTGCTCACGGAAAGCTCTACAGATAAATGACGTCTTCTCGATTTCTTCCATTTGAAAGGTTCATAAAATATAGAGACTATGAGACTCTAAAGATCGATTGAAGCTTCAACCTCGAGATCACACGTCCCGACCCTCAGTAAAACACGAATATAAAGAGATAGAATAAGATGATCATACTTAAAGATCGTACATACCCAAATAATTAATACAAAACCAAATTCACGCGAGGACACCACAACAATTAAACAAATTTTTTGATACAAATTTCAACAAATTAAAATAGTTTGACAAACAATCAAAACAGCATCCATGAAGCAGCCACCATGGCCATAGCCATAGACCAAGAGTATGAAAAGCTGTTCATGATGGCAGCATTCGTCCCCGGCGGTGGAGAGGCAGTCGGCTCGGAGGACGGGGGATGCACGTGGCCCTCATGCCCGTTAGCGACGCAAACGAGCAGCAGCACCGCCAGCACGAAGCTGAGAACTGCCAAGGGACGAGCTGCCATTGTTAAGAAGAAGAAAGATGGTGAAGGAGAAGACTTTGAGAGCCTAATTAAGGTTAATTGGATAGATGTATATATAAGCTCTAATCCAATGGAGGATTATAATTTTTTAATTTTATTATAATTTTTTTTATGGGAGATAAATATATATTATTTAATAAGACGCTCATAATATGATTATCTAATTAAACCCATTAGATATATATCATTATATCTGTCACGGATCCCACAGTTGAAGGGGGAATGAAACATTTCTTATAAGGATGTGAAAGTTTCTTCTTAATAGACACGTTCTACAACAGTGAAACTAACGACAATACATAACGAGCTATAACAGATAATATATACTAGCGGTGAGCTTGAACTGCTACAAATGGTATCAGAGCTAGACACCGGGCAATGTACTTACGAGGACGTTGGACTCCAAGGGAATGAATTGTGAGATCGTTGGATCGGGAACATTTCTTACGAGAGAAAAAGTGTGGGTTCTCTAAATATTATATTGATTAATGGACAGATGTTATAGGTAGAATCTATAAATAAAATAAATTTAATATAATTATAAAAATCTTAATCCCATTAAATTAAAAATATTTGGTTTATGATGAAAGTCAAAATTGAGTAGTTTATGCTCCACCAGTAAGGCATAACAGTTGTCATATTCTTTATGTAAATAATTCTCATTATTTATTTCAACTAAAAAATTATCATAATTTATTATTTTAAAATAATTGTTGAAAATTATTTTCATAGAAATTGGTGAACTATATATAATATAATTTAACTCAATCTCTATACTTTTTAAAATTAAATTGAATTATTGATTTTGATTAAGCTAATAATTGTTGAATTAATAAGTTTAGAATAATAATCCAATGTTGTTTTAAAAAATGGCATGAAACTTGAGTTTAGAGTATGTTGTTTCCATGTCTTCCACAAATATCTATCTTATTCTAAAAATTTTAATTTTAATTTTAAGTTGGTAAAGTGTATTGTTTTTTCAATTAATTTTTACCCTATGTTTTTTATTTACCTTCAATTTGGAACCAATTATAAATACCATTATGTCACAAATTTAATATTAAGATAAAAGTTGTCAAATCTTAAATGAGATGGTTGTATGTCTTTATTATGATTGTAATACTCACGTCCTAGATTCCGACCAGATTTAGAATTTAGATTTGGCACTTGATGATAACGGCATTCCATCGCAACGTGGTGTGGTCACGTTACCTACTCTTCACTTATAAGAGTGAAGACTATCCTTAAATTAACACGAGTCATTCTACATTGTTTTATCTTCACTCACATGTATCTATAGTCCAAACATTATAGATATTATTCTCTCAGTAAGATGTTTTCATGCTCTTATAAACAATGTTTCGTTCTACTTCCCAACCAATGTGAGATCTCACAATTAAAACGTGTCTACTAGGGAGATGTTTCCATGCCCTTATAAACAATGTTTCGTTCTACTTCCCGACCAATGTGGGATCTCACAATCTACCCCCTTCAAGGCCCAATATCCTCGTTGGCACGCCGCCTAGTGTCCACCTCCTTTTGGAGTCTAGCATCCTTGCTAGCATACGCTTGGTGTCCACCCTCCTTCGGGACTTAGCGTCCTCACTGACACAATGCTCAGTGTCTCTGATACCATTAGTAACCAATGCTTGCAGTGAGTTTGAGCTATTACAATTCAGATGTGGTCTTCATTCATTCGTGTACCCCTCTTTTACTCGGGTGTCACAATAATATTTAACCAAATAATTAAACTTCATTTCCTCAAATTCAAATTAAATAAAACTCAATGTGTTTGAAAAGATATATATTAAAAAAAAAGTTAATTGGAATTGATACTATGGGTTTTGAGGGTTCCATCTTATCATAAATATCATAATCAAACAATTAAGTGAACATATTAAACTAGATCAATACTGATAGTGTCCCCTGTAAGGCTTCGTTTTGGTTATGGGGGTCAGCCAGCAGCTGCAGCTTTCATTTCACTTCCAACGCCTGGTTTTCGACGTTGCTTAGCTTAGCTTAGCTTATGCCACAGCGTCGCTCGATTCTGCACTACTGTTCGATGTTTGATGGTCGTCGATCAAATTTCTAAATCTGCTACCAAAATCGAGGTTGTAGATGTGCCCCATTTTGGCGCGCTTCGTCTCGAGGTATCTTTTGTTGTCCTTCGTAATTGGGGTTATCAGAGGAACTCTGCCTGAAACTTCTAACCCATACCCCTTCAGTCCTTTGTACTTAGTTGGGTTGTTTGTCATTAGCTTCATTGTTCTTACTCCGAGATTTCTTAGAATCTGCAACCAACAAAAAGGAGGATCAGATATAGTACAATCATACCAAGTCGGTTTGTCATTCGACTGCGTAAATCTGTGTACCTGTGCACCAATGCCATATTCTCGAGAATCCACAGGCAGTCCTAGTTCCTCGTTCGCTTCGACAGTATCCCGCCCGGCATCTTGCAAGTTATACGCACGAAGTTTGTGGCCCAAACCTATGCCTCGTCCTTCATGACCACGGAGATAAATCAAGACACCCCTGCCTGCAGCTTCGATCAGCTGCATTGCTAGAGCAAGCTGGTTTCCACAGTCGCATCTCGCTGATCCGAAAATGTCTCCGGTGAGACATTCTGAGTGTACTCTCACCAGAATATCTTGTCCATCACCGATATCACCCTGCACAATGCAAGGCTTGATCTCATTACAACGCTGAAAGTCCATTTAACCGAGCACACCGTGCATATAATACCGGGTAGGGATCATCATGTGCTACAAGTAATAGCAAATGGTTCACAAAGCTTAGCCTTACCTTAACCATAGCAATATGCTCAATGCCATCCAAAATAGATCTGTAGCAATATGCCTGAAACGGTCCCCATGTAGTCGGCATGCGAGCAGCAGCCCCGGCACATTCGACTAATCTATCTCTCTTCCTCCTATACCTGTCGGTACCATAATATATTAGATCTGATTTATAAGATTACTAAACTCGGGGACGAAAAAATGACAGAGAAGGAAACGTTGATACAACATTGATTGTTTCGTCGTAACTTGAAATGAAGATCATGATCATTATGCAAGCAAGAAACTGGTGTTCATGTGAAGTGTAACAGTACAAGCCCACCGCTAGTATATATTGTTCATTTTTGTCCGCCTCACGGTTTTAAAATGCATCTACTAGTGAGAGATTTCCACACCTTTACAAGGAATGCTTCGTTTCCCTCTCCAACCAATTTGGGATCTCACAATCCACCCTCTTGGTGTGTCCTAGACAGCACACCGCCCAATGGCTAGCTCTTACACCATTTGTAACAGTTCAAGCCTACCGCTAGTAGATATTGTCCGTTTTGGCTCATTACATATAACCATCAGCCTCACAGTTTTAAAACGCATCTACTAGAAAGAGGTTCCACCCTACCGAAGCTAACACAATCAAAACTCTTGCAAGAAAGATATTGATTTACCTGACTAAATCAGCAATGGAAATGATTTTCAGGTTTTCCCGTTTCGCAAATTCACGAAGTTTCGGTAACCTAGCCATGGAACCATCTTCATCAACCACCTCACAAAGGATACCAACCGGTTCTAATCCAGCAAGCATGACAAGGTCGACAGATGCTTCGGTATGTCCAGCTCTCTTCAAAACACCACCTTCCCTGTACTTGAGGGGAAATATATGGCCAGGTCTTTTAAAATCATAAGGTTTTGAATCTCTTGAGGCAAGTTTCAACACTGTTGTTGCCCTATCACTAGCAGAAACTCCAGTGGTTGTACCTTCTCTTGCATCCTGAAGAAATCATCGTCCCAAACTTGCATTAGATCTATACGAAATTATCGTGGCATAGTGTTCATAATATTGTTCAGTTTACATGTAACAGCTCAAGCCCACCACTAACAAATATTGCCGGTTTTGGCCCATTACGTATCGCCATTAACTTCACGGCACCCTTATACGGAATGATTCATTCCCTTCTCTAACCGATATGGGATCTCACAATCCACCCCTTTAGGGGTCCAACGACTTTGCTGGCACGCCGCCCAGTGTCTAGATCTGATACCATTTGGAACAACCCAAGCCCACCGCTAACAAATATTGTCCTCTTTGAGCTTTTCCTTTCAGGTTTTCCCTCAAGGTTTTTAAAACGTGTTAGCTAATGAGAGATTCCACACCCTTAAAAGGAATGCTTTGCTCCCCTCTCTAACCGACTTGGGATCTCACATTACATATATTGAGCGGAATGATAATCCAAAATGGCAAGTGAAGAATTCATACCACTGTCACTGTAAAAGCAGTACAAAGCTTCTCCTCGTTCTCCTTTTCGTTCACCATGAGCGGAATCTGTAACCTCTCCAGATCTTCACCTTTCATGGCTACACAAACAATTCCTGTTCCATGTTTTACAATGAAAGCCATAGCTTCAGGAGTAGCAGCTTGTGCTGCCATTATCAAATCTCCCTCGTTTTCTCTATCTTCATCATCAACAACAAGCACCATCTGCAACCTCACTGTTCTTGTTACTAAGATGAAAAGGTAAAAAACAAGAAAAAGAAATGCTCCATGTCATATTGGACAACCTTTCCCTGTCGAATATCTTCAACTGCATCAGCAACAGCAGCGAAACCTGCGGTGGGACGATCAAAATCATATTCATCTTCACCAACGGGAAAACTATTTCGAGTAGAAGCTGAATCTTGCTGATTTCCAAGGACGATATCGTTCGCAACGACAGCATTGCCATTGGAAGAAGACAGAACTCCTCCTTCACCAGATATCAATGTAGCTCTTGTTTGGACTGAACCCCTGGTGCCTAAAAACAGTTTACTAGCTTTACAGCTCGAGGTTAACTCCAAAACAAGGCTAGTTGCCACGTACGGTTTAACATGGTTTCCACCAAAAGACTGCAAGTCTTTGAATCTTCTACATCATACAAAAATCAGACAATATGTTTAGAGAAAATTCATAGAAAACATCTAACATACTGCATTTACTTAAAGAATTCCTAGTGGAAACAAATTCTAATCAATGTTCTCAAGCTTCAATAGTAAAACTTAATAGCTAGATTCAGTTGTTAGTGGAATGTAGAGAAAAATTTCGTGCCAAAAGCCTGTTAAACTCAAATAACAATGGCTAATCTAAATGGGATCAAGAATTTAATGCATAACATGATGTTCTTTCTTCATTTCTCTTAAATCAATTGGTAGTAAAATGCGAGATGTTCTTATGACGATGCGAAAATTTCGACTGTTCTAACAGAGAAGGATACAGAGGCCTCAGATGATCATACGAGACTTCGAAGTAAGGAAGATCCAAACAAATAAACAGAGAAACTTCACCATCAAACTTGATCTTAACCGATTTGGATATCAAAATCATGAAAATGAAGCAAAATCAAGGTATAAAACGCAGAAATCGACACAAAAATCCATCAAAACGAGCAACCTAGAAACGAAAATCGCAATATCATTCGAACAGATTTCTCTCAAAACAAGACGATAATCGAATTACCCATCAAAAATCAAATACGAAACGCAAAGAATTCAACGATTACACAGAAAATCACTCGAAAATCAGAATACAAAGAATAGCTTACCGAAGATGAGAAATGGGAGTCGTAGATTGGAACGAGACGGTTCTAAAAGCCATTGGCGCAGAAATTTCTTAAGCAGGTGAAATGGTTTGAAGATTCCAGAATTTGGGTTTTTATTTATACGGCGGAAAAAGAAGGAAGCCAAATCAAACAGAAAAAGGAGAGTTGGTGGGGCGGGCAAGGAATCAACCAAGAACTTGTATTCAAGTCGGTTAGTCGTACGCGATTAACTGCTATCGCCAATGGAATGATAGGGATTTAAAAACCCAATATTCAAATCATAAACAGAATTTTTTATTCCTTTTTTGAATTTTCGAACGATAAATTAGTACTTCAAGCAAAACATATATAAACAAACAATTTTCCACTCAATTATTTGGTATGGAACTGAGATCCCAGATCTAAAAAAAAATAAAAACAAATTTTTTGAGGGCTTATGATCCATGAGTTGAAGAACAAGAACAAATCTGGTGTTGAGTTAGATAAATATTTGTGGAATAAATGGTTCTAGATTCTAATCCATTGTTTTCTTTTTTTTAGAACAAAAAGGATTTGGGAATGGGATTGAAGTTGACATTGAAGAATAAGAATAAACTTTCATACATCGTAACAAAACTAATCCGAGGAGATACAATTCCTATCATATCCATTATGAAATAATAGGATTAATAAATTTTATGCGTCAATATTTTTATCATAAATATGTAAATTAGTTCAATCTTTAAATATACAAAAGAAATTGTTTAAATTTACGAGATCTTATTAATGTTCAAACTTGATTTATTATTGCTTAAGATCTTATATATTTATTTTTAGAATATAAAACTAATTACGAATTATGTAAATGTGAATAATTTGTATTTTTTTTTTTTTTTGTAATAATAATTTATATATTAAATATTAGATATTGTAATAAAAATCCTGCCACGTGGTTATTATTTAATTACAAAAGACCATGCTGGCACTGACATCCAACATTAAATGCCAATATTAATTTCATATTGATTAATTCTAAATAATTAATAATTTTAAGCGATTTATTAAATATAAAAAATAAAAATTTCTGTTGAATAGGGCTAAACTTTTAATTTTGTAGTGATTTTTAGATAATAAAATCGATTTTTTGTAAATAAAAAAAAGGAAGAAAATTAGTAAATGTCATATAATATTCCATATATATATATATATATGTGTATATATATTTATTATATCTTTCTAAAATTGAGTTTTTTTTTGGGGGGGGACCAAAGGGAATGAATTTGAACTTTTTCTCTTTTGCCTTTCTTATCTTTTTTTTTTTAAAAGGAAATTGAGAGGTTATTTCGTGGCGCGACAGAGTTGACTAGGACCCATTTTTTGGGGTCTTATCCTTTTTCTAAGAGCCTCCAGTCCACTGAGGCTGGGCCCACTTTGCCACTTGCCATCGACACGTGTCCATATTTCATTATTTCGGGTTATCGGGTTTCAAGTTAGACCCGAATTGAATGAGTGGAGTGGAATCGTGGTAATTTTCAGTTTATTTATTTATTTAAACTAAAATTAAGATTCTATGACTTAAATACATTATAAAAGATAAAAAAAAATTGATAAATATTATAAAATATAAAATAGTAAAAATTATAATAATAAGAGAATTTATAACATAATTATAAATATTTTTAAAAATAATTTTAAACTTTTTTTTAAATAAAATGTTTAAAATTAAAACACTATATTTCCTAAAAAGTATTTTTATATACAAATTTATTTGATTTAGTCTACACATAAAATACTTTTATAAATTATTATAAAAAATAGAATATTAATATGAATTAATAATACGTTCAAATTTATATTAAAATTTAGTTTCATTCAAAATACCTTATTTCTCAAAATTATTACATTAATAGGACAAAACTGAGCTGTTGGTAAAATAAATAAATAAATATATATATTTTTATATAAAATTAAATGCATTAACTCAAGAAATAATAAAATAAAGCCATCAAATTTGAAGGTTTGGATTGAATAATATACTGCTCTGACTTGTGGTAGGTTCAATAGTGATGAATTCATTTAATTTCAATATTTATTTTAAAATTTTAAAAACCTTTATGCATTTATATTTTTTAACATATTATTTATCCTATCATTTTTATGGTTTAATTAATAGATTACGTACTATTTTTTTTTAATAATTTAATTCAAAAAATATTTTTTAAAAATCATTAATATCCTTAATATTTTTAATTGATTAATATATATATATATATATATATATATATATATATATCGATAAACAAAGTATTGCTTATTTTATCAATAAAACAAAACGGTTATGAATACGAGAACAGACTATAAATTAAATAATTATTTAAAAATATATCGATATAACTACTAATCTCATAAAAGTACCTTCAAACACGCCTTTAATTTAACAAATATCGAGCTTTCAAGGGTGCGAGGAAGAATTAAGTAGCCAAAGCATCGCTCGAAGCATTTGCATCGGTTTTTTTATTGGCATCCACTAGGGTTTCTTAATTCACCATTAAATTCCAAGCCATAAATGTGACCCATTTTGGTTCTCTTAGTTTCTAGGTATCGTTTGTTGTCCTTAGTAATTGGCGTTACAAGAGGAACTCTGCTCGAAACTCCCAACCCGTATCCCTTTAGCCCTATGTACTTTGCTGGATTGTTCGTCATTAGCCTCATTGTTCTTACTCCAAGATCTCGTAGAATCTGCAAAGTTTCAAACTCAATAACATCAAAATACTTGTTTGTAAATTTTACAGGTCGATTATGAGAAACGTACCTGTGCACCGACGCTATAATCTCTAGAATCGATAGGCAATCCCAGATCTTCGTTGGCTTCGACGGTATCCCTCCCGGCATCTTGCAAATTGTATGCGAGAAGCTTGTTGCCCAAACCGATCCCTCTTCCTTCTTGCCCTCGTAGATAGACCAACACTCCTTTTCCAGCTGCTTTGATTTGTTGCATTGCTAAAGCTAGTTGCTTTCCACAGTCGCATCTGGTTGATCCGAATACGTCTCCAGTGAAGCATTCGGAGTGCACTCTCACTAGAATATCTTCTCCGTTCCTAACATCGCCCTTCACGAAAAATGATAAAACGACTTGAAATTTATTTAGAAAGACGTCGATCATCGTGGGTTCGAAAGAAAAACGAGTATTATTACCATCATCATTGCAATATGTTCGATGCCATCTAAGGTGGATTTATAACAATAGGCCTTGAATGTTCCCCATGTTGTGGGCATCCTTGTAGGAGCTCCGACGCGCTCAATTGATATCACCTTCTTCCTTCTATACCTGTTGAAATGATCAAGATCAGCTCTCTCGTGCTAAACTCTAAATTCTAAACCCCTACAATATTTTATCTTGAGAAATTCGACCTGATTAAGTCAGTAATGGAGATGATTTTAAGGCTATGATGGTTCGCAAACTGGCGTAGTTTTGGGAGCCTAGCCTTGGAACCGAGTTTGTCACCAATGGCGATCTCACTGAGAATTCCAACCGTGCTTAGTCCGGCGAGCCGAGCAAGCTCGACCGAGGCTTCAGTGTGTCCAGGCCTCTTCAGAACGCCACCTTCGGTGTGTCGGAGGGGAAGGATATGGCCAGGTTGTTTAAAATCATAAGGTTTTGAGTGTTTTGATGCTAATGCCACCGCGGTCGCCGCCCTATCTTCCGATGATACTCCGGCGATTATGTCCACCATTAACGGAGTTTCCAACCTCTCAAGATCTTCCCTTTTCATCCCCACATAAACAATCTTGGTTCCATGCTTTTCCATGAAAGCCATCGCCTCCGTCGTCGCCGCCTCCGCTGCCATTATCAAACCTCCTTTGTTTAAATTTTCATCGTCAACCACCACCACCATCTGCAACTCAAAGAAAGACGATGATAACAACAACAACGATACCAATAACAATAACGATCGTTACTACCTTCCCCTGACGTATGTCTTCAATGGCTTCTTCGATGGATGAAAACTCTTCAACCAAACGATTGAGGTTTGACTCGTCAATCGAAATCAACTGGTCATCGACATCAAAGATAGTATTGTTTGCGACGATGGCATTGATATCAACCCCATCTCTAGCTTGGACGCAACGGTTGGTGACTATCGAGAATTTAGCAAGTTTGATGACGGAGGGAAAAAATATTGGTGTGTAGGGTTTGATCGCAAAACCTCGAAGGTCTTTCCATTTTCTAAATCACGAAATAAAAAGTATAAATATAACGAGTGATTTTGAAACAGTTAAAATCATTTTTTTTTCACATTCATAATAATTAAAAACCGACCCTTTGAACAAAAAAAAAAAAAAAAAAAAACAAGATCAGTTTTCAACGTCGATTTGAGCTCAAAGCTAATGACACTCAACCTAACTCTCACTCATAATCAATACGAGCTACCCAAAAAACAACGACCAAGACGATAAATTTAACCGAGAGTACGAGATGAGCTTACCGAAGATGAGAAGTGGGCGATGACGAATGGCAAGAGAAGCTTGTAAAAGCCATTGTTGAGGCTGAAAATGGCTTTTCCAAAGCTCAAGCACAAGTGATGCAGTTTTGGAATCCCTCTTATTTATAAACTTAAATTAATTTTATAAATAAAAAAATTCTCGATAAAAATTAAATTGTTACAAATTTATTCATAGTCGAAAAATATTATATTTATTTATTTTTTAATATTTCATTAATTTTATAATATATACTGAAAATGTCGTTTCATCTTTTATATTGATATCGAACTTACTGGCCGTAGAAATATTATTAAATAATGTATACTAATTTTGACGTTGATTGGTCTAAGATTCTCAAAATACTTAAAATAAGAAAAACACAGCTGGTTGGATAAGGAGAAGTTGTCTCGAATGTGTTTAATATGTAATTTTTTCGGGTTTTCACTTGAGATAAAATAGCTACAAAGAAGATAGGACTCGTTTGGAATAACTTTATAACGATTATAAGTCGTTATTTTAACACGGAAAGTTATTCCAGACATACCCTTAATTAGCTAAAGCATCACTCGAAACATTAGCGTCGGATTTTTTATGGGCATCCATTAGGGTTCTTAATCCACCGTTGAATTCCAAGCCATAAACATGACCCATTTTGGCTCGTTTAGTTTCTAGGTATTTTTTGTTGTCCTTAGTAATTGGCGTTACAAGAGGAACTCTGCCCGAAACTGTCAATCCATATCCCTTTAGCCCTACGTATTTTGCTGGGTTGTTCGTCATTAGCTTCATTGTTCTTACTCCAAGATCTCTTAGAATCTGCAAAGTTTAAAACTTAATAACATCAAAATATGCCTTTTACTCCACCTTTATTAAAAAGCATTTTCAAAGAATAAAAAAACGCATAAAACAGCTATCGTAGACTCTCGAGAATCATGTTCTTTTATAGATTTACGAGTCGTTTATGAGAAACGTACTTGTGCACCGACGCTGTAATCTCTGGAATCGATAGGCAATCCTAGATCTTCGTTGGCTTCAACAGTGTCCCTCCCGGTATCTTGTAAATTATACGCAAGAAGCTTGTTGCCTAAACCAATGCCTCTTCCTTCTTGCCCTCGTAGATAAACCAACACTCCTTTTCCTGCTGCCTCAATGTGTTGCATGGCTAAAGCTAGCTGCTTCCCGCAATCGCATCTGGCTGATCCAAATATATCTCCAGTGAAACACTCTGAATGCACCCGAACTAAAACGTCCTCTCCGTCATTAAGATCGCCCTACAAAAAGAAAAATCGTAAACCGACTTAAATTTTGTTTAGAACGAAATAGAAGGAATTATTATTACCTTGGCCATTGCAATATGCTCAATGCCATCTATGGTGGATTTGTAACAATAGGCATTGAATGTTCCCCATGTTGTCGGCATTCTTGTCGGAGCTCCAACCCGCTCAATTGATGTCTCCCTCTTCCTCCTGTACCTGCGACACCCTCAAATTTTTTATTTTTTATTTTTTGTTTTTTTTAATTGTTTTTAAAAATTAAAAAAAAAAAGTAAATATGGAAGATTTAATTAAAATATTTCTTCTAAAAAACATTTTAAATGATTTTTATATTCGTTTTAAAAAAAAAATGTAAAAATTACAGTGAATTATTTTGAAAATAATATTAAATTTATTCATGTTTAAAATCATTTAAAGTATGTTTGAAAATAATGTTAAAATTGTTAAATTAACTTTTATGGTAATTAAAATCACTTGTTTGAAGAGGGTAAAATAAAAATTAACCTGACTAAGTCTGCAATGGAGATGATTTTGAGATTATGGAGGCGAGCAAAGTCCTGAAGCTTTGGGAGCCTAGCCATGGAGCCATCCTCGTCGACGATCTCGCAAAGAATTCCGACAGGGTTAAATCCGGCGAGCTCGACAAGATCGACGGAGGCTTCAGTGTGACCTGGCCTCTTCAGAACCCCGCCTTCTCTGCACCGGAGGGGGAAGATATGGCCAGGCCGTTTAAAATCGGAAGGTTTCGAGTGTTTTGATGCCAATGCCATCACCGTCACCGTCCTGTCGCTCGCCGATACTCCGGTCGTTGTGTCGTTTTTTCCATCCTTTACAAGTTCATAAGTGAGAAAAAATATGTAAAAACTTCGCCGAAGATCAATCTCGAGAACAAGCTGCAATGCTGTCGAGATAAATCTCCGTTCGAGAATAAGCGGTAAAACGCTCGAGACAAATAAAAATGTATTTACCACTGTGATAGTAAAAGCAGTGGAGAGCATCTCTTCATTATGCTTGTCATCCACCATTAAAGGTATCTTCAACCTCTCAAGATCTTCCCCTTTCATTCCGACACAGACAATCCCTGTTCCATGTTTTACGATGAACGCCATTGCCTCTGACGTCATCGCCTCCGCCGCCATTATCAAATCTCCTTCGTTTTCTCTATCTTCGTCGTCAATAACCACCACCATCTACATAAACAAAAAACACAAATAAGCCCTCCGTTCGACAACGACAACGACATTAACGACTTCTACCACCTTTCCCAATTTGATATCCTCGATGGCTTCCTCGATAGATGAAAACCCTTTGGTCGGACAGTCGAGATCAGACTCCTCAGCTGAAATTGGATGGCCATCTACATCGAAGATCATATCGTCGACGACCGTAGAATTGGCATTAACATTGAAAGACGACATGATAATTCCGTCTCTAAGTTGAATTGAGTGATCGGTAGCGAGAAAGAGTTTGGAAGATTTGAAAACGGAGGAAAATTGAGACGCATGGCTAAAACCCTTTTTCGTGTAGGGTTTGAAGACATGGTTGATGGTTGCGTAAGCTCGAAGGTCTTTCGATCGTCTGCATGAAAACGTGTATCAAATAACTAACGTATGAACGACGAATTACGAACGAACGAGTCAAAGAATTGGACTTACCGAACAGAAATGGGAGTTGTAAGTTGACAAGAGAAGCTTGTGAAAGCCATTGTTAATACTCAAAGTTCTTATTGAAAGCTCAAATATGAAGATTTAAAAGTTCTCTTATTTATATAGGCACCAAGAATAATTTTATAAATAAATAAATAAATAATTTCTATTAATTTTTTTTAAAATAAAGTTTTAAGAAATGAATTAAATAATATGAAAATTAAAAGTTAATTAATAAACAAGTTTTAAAATTAGGGTTTTAATTTTCGATTATTATTTTATTAAAAAAAATTTAAAAATTGTGAAAATATTATTAGTTTTAATTATATATTTTATAAGAAAAAAAATACTCATTGGTGATTAGGAGAGAGAAGGCATGAGTCATACCCCCATGAGAGAGAAAGAAGGCATGAGATTAAGGAGATTGTCCCACATGGACAAGGCATGAAAAGGAAGAGCTTTTTAAGATTATTTTTTAAAAAAATTATTTAATTATTTTGACATTATTAAAACGAAAAATTAAAATAAAAATGATACCATCCCTAGTAGAATCATAGTTTAAAGCTTAAAAATGTTCATTATTTTGATAATTTTATAATTTTACATGAGTTTTGAGTTTAATTAAAATTTTATACTACATTTATACTCAAGGCCCAATATTTATTTCTGGCCCATGGTTTGGGGCTCAAATATAATTAATAGTAATAAAAGGCCCAATATTTATTTCTGACCCATGGTTTGGGGCCCAAATATAATTAATAGTAATAGAAGGCCCAATATTTATTTTCTGACCCATGGTTTCGGGCCCAAATATAATTAATTGTAATAGAAGGCCCAATATTTATTTTCTGACCCATGGTTCGGGCCCAAATATAATTAATTGTAATAGAAGGCCCAATATTCTATTTCTGACCCATGGTTTGGGGCCCAAATATAATTAATAGTAATAGAAGGCCCAATATTTATTTTCTGACCCATGGTTTCGGGCCCAAATATAATTAATTGTAATAGAAGGCCCAATATTTATTTCTGACCCATGGTTTGGGGCTCAAATATAATTAATTGTAATAGAAGGCCCTTAGATGCCTTCAAACAAAAGTGCTTGTAAAATAATGCAATTTTCTTTAAAATATATTTTTTAAAAATGGTTTAAAATTAAAAATGATAATTTCAAAATTTTATAAGATAATATGATTGCTAATGATGATTAGCAAAGTGATTATCGGTAACAAGGTGTCGATGGACAACAACTAAATCTCGTGCTCGATGGCAGTGGATAATGGAAGTAGTGGTGGGAGTTATGCCATTAACAATAGGGGATGGTAGTCACTAGAGGATTTCGGTGATGGTCGATAATGATTATCGATAGTGGAGAAGTAAAAGTAGTATAAGGGTATTTCAGTAATTTTTCATATATCACGAGAATTTAGAAGAAAAATACTTAAATTCAAAATGTCATAGGTGGATGTCTTTTTTCATCAACCAATTATTGGAAACCGTTTCACACCTTAGACCCTAAACCTTAAACTAAAAAGCTTATCTTTCTTTGTGTTGCTTCTAAGTGGACTTTGTGATACAAAACCTTATCTTTTCGGGTTCGCACTATAATTTTTCGTTCGTTTGTTCTTAGATTTTACGGATCACTCGTGAAATAAATCGAGTTCACTTGAGGTAAAAACTGAAACGATAAATAAATACCGAAGAAAATCTGTGCATTTGAAGTAGGAATGAACGGGTTTAGCTGGACCAGTTTGACATATTTTTTTCTCCATTTTTTTCAAGCTAGTTTCAATTGGACTTAAACTCGAGTTATGAATTGTTATTATAGCTTATTTAAGCGTATTGAAAAAATGTTTACATTAAAGTACTTCATATCTCTATCGTAATACCGTTCATTTTAGAAATAATTAATGTCACGATTTCAATACATTTATTAGGATAAATTATGGTTTTAGACTTTATTTTAAAATTTTATTTTACCCATCAAGATTATGTTACTATATTAAGTGTTAGAGGCCTCAATTCCAGTGCCAAACACATGACTCTTGTCCCTTCCATAATTTAAACCTAGCATAAATGGACAAGATTAGTACTAATAATAAATTAACACTAAAAAAAATAATAATAATTATTTGAATTGATCCGGTCATATAAGAATAAGATTCAAATCTATCGGTCTGTTAGGATGTCTCGGTT